AATAACAAAAAAAAAAAAAAAAAAAAGATGGCTGGAAGCAGAAGTCTGGCATCACAAAGACTTCCACTTGTTTGCCAGACATTCTGCCTACAGTAATCTCCCAATACACCTAGAACATTTGCTTAAGTATGGATGTGAACACAGTTTTTTAGGAGATTCTCATACCAAAATTCAATTATGAAGTAGGAAGTCACATACGGAACTCACTCATTCCATTTTAATTTCTGTTAATGACATAAAGAAGCTTAAGAAAAAAGTGCTTAACTCTACAGCCTTCTCAGGCTAAAGACCTGCAGCCAGCAATGCCTGTATTCACAGGTTAGGGATTCAACTCTGATCCTTATTGCCATTTGGGATAAAAATTTTGATTAGGGACAGATGTAGATAAAAAAGGAAGCAGAAGGCTTGAACAATACTACAAAACAACTAGACCTAACTGACCTATTCAGAACACGACAGCTAACAACTGCAGAATACACATTTTTCTCAAGTGCATGTGAAACATTATCCAGGATAGACCGTAGGTTAGGCCACGAGTCTCAATACATTTAAAAACGTTGAAATCTCCCAAAATACGATTTTTAACCACAATGCAAAGAAACTGGAAATCAAAAACAGAAGTTTGGGAAATCCTCAAATGTCTGACTTCGGCTCAGGTCATGATCTTGCAGCTTGTGGGTTCAAGCCCCGCATAGGGCTCTGTGCTGACAGCTCAGAGCCTGGAGCCTGCTTAGGATTCTGTCTCCCTCTCTCTCTGCCCCTCCCTTGCTCATGCTCTGTCTCTGTCTCTCTCTCAAAAATAAACATTAAAAATAATCAACATAATATACTGCATTAACAAAGGACAAGAATCACATGATTACTTCAGTAGACTCACAAAAAGCATTTGACAAAATCTAGTACTCTTTCATGTTAAAAAAGCACTGAACAAACTAGGAGTAGGAGGGTACTTACCCAACCTGATAAAGACTATCTATGAAAAACCCAGAGCTAATATACTTAATGGTGAAAGACCATACTTTCCCCTAAGATCAAGAAGAAGACAAAGATGTCCACTCTCACCACTTTTAATTGTCATTATATACAAGGTTCTAGTTAGGGTAATTGGGCAAGACAAATAAAAAGCATCCAGTTTGGTAAAGAAAGTACCAAATTTATTAGCTCTAATAAATCTAATAAATCTGCAGAGTTGCAGATTAAAAGATCAGGATTCTAAACACCAGTAATAAACAATCTGAAAATGAAATGAAGAAGGCATGTAATTTATAATATCAAAAATACCTAGGATTAAAACAAAAAGAAGTGTAAGGGCTGTATAGTGTAAACTCTAAATGTTATTGAAAGAATTTAAAGAGAGACCTTAAATAAGTGGAAAGACATCCTGTGCTCATGGATTAAAAGACTTAATAATGTTAAGATGGAAATAACTTCCCATATTGATCTACATGTTCAATGTAATCCCTATCAAAAATCCCAGGGGCGCCTGGGTGGCTCAGTTGATTGAGCATCAGACTCTTGATTTGGGTCCGGTCATGATCTCCCAGTTTGCAAGATTGAGCTCCGTGTCAGGCTCTGTGTTGACAGCATGGAGCCTGCTTAGGATTCTCTCTTCCTCTCTCTGTGCCTCTCCCCTGCTTGTGCACATATGTGTGCTCTCTCTCTCTCTCTCTAACTTAAAAAAAAAAAAAAAATCATAGCTGGGCTTTTGCAGAAATTGACAAAATGTTCCTAAATGCACATGAGAGAGCAAGGGATCTAGCACAGCCAAAATGATCTTTGAAAGAACAGAAAAAAGTTGAAGTCTTATTTCAAAACTCTCAACAGAGTTATAGTAATAAAAACTGTGAGGTGGTAACAAGGATACAGATGTAGATCAATGAATAGAATTGAGAAACAAGAAATAAACCCTTATATTTATGGTCAATTTGTTTTCAGTATGGGTGTCAAGACCATTCAGTGGGGGAGAAAATAGTCATTTTAACACATGGAGCTGGGACAACTGGAGAGCCATGCAGAGAATAAAGTTGGACCCCTGCCTCACACCATATATAAAAATTAACTGGGTGATTCAGTTGGTTAAGCCTCTGACTTCAGTTCTGGTCATGATCTCATGGTTCATGGGTTTGCATCCCATGTTGGGCTCTATGCTGACAGCTCAGAGCCTGGAGCCTGCTTCAGATTCTGTGTCTCCCTCTCTCTGCCCTTCCCCCACTTATGCTCTCTTTCTCAAAAATAAACACTAAAAAAGTAATAAAAATAACTCAAAATGGATCACAGACTTAAATTAAGAGCTAAAGGTATAGGGTACTTAGAAAACTCAGGCATAAATCCTTGAGACTTTGGATTAGGCAGTGGTTTCTTACAAATCAAAGGCACAAACAACAAAAGAAGAGATAGATAGGAGTACCTGGGTGGCTCAATTGGTTAGGCGTCCGACTTCAGCTCAGGTCATGATCTTATGGTTTCTAGGTTTGGGACTTTTGTCAGGCTCTGTGCTGACAGTTCAGAGCCTGGAGCCTGCTTCAGATTCAGTGTCTCCCTCTTTCTCTACCCCTCTCCTGCTTGTGTTCTGTCTCTCTCAAAAATAAATAAACCTTAAAATAAATAAAAATAAATAAATAGAAATAAATTAGATTTCACCATAACTAAAAACTTTTTCTTCTTCTTAATATTTTTGAGAGCGAGAGAGCAAACACGAGCAGGGGAGGGGCAGAGAGAGAGGGGGACAGAGGATCTGAAGTGGACTTTGCGCTGACAGCAGAGAGCCCAATGTAGAGCTTTGAGGTTGGACATTCAATTGACTGAGCCACTCAGGCACCCCTAAAAACTTTGTATATCAAAGGGCACTATCAAAGTGAAAACACAACCCACAGAATGGGAGAAAATATTTGTAAGTCATATATTTGTCAAGTAACTAGTGTCTAAATCATAACTCTTAACAGTAAAAAAACAAATGCCCCATTAAAAATGGGCAAGTGATTTGGAAAGACATTTAACAAAACTTCACATATAATTAACATAGTGTTATTAGTTTCAGGTATACTATATAATTCAACAATTATATACATTTCTCAAAATTCAGCAAGATAAGTGTAGTCTTAATCCTCTTTATGTATTTCACCCATCCCCCTAATACCTTCCCTCTGGTAACCACCAGTTCTCTCTATTTAAGGGTCTGGGTTTTTTTTTTTTTTTAATCTTTTTTTCCTTTATCCATTTGTTTCTTGAATTCCACATATGAGTGAAATCATATAGTATTTGTCTTTCTCTGACTGATTTCACTTAGAATCATACCTTCCAGGTCCATCCATGGTTTTGCGGAGGGTAAGATCTCATTCTTTTATGGCCAGTATCACATTTTGTACTTGTGTGTGTGTATCTCCCGTATCTTCTTCATTCACGTACTGATGGACTTGGGTTGCTTCCATATCTTGGCTATTGTAAATAATGCTGCAGTAAACCTATCTTTTTGAACAGCCAAGGAAATCAACAAAAGGGCAATCTACTGAATGGGAGAAGACATTTGCAAATGATATATCTGATAAGGGGTTGATATCCAAAATATATAAAGAATTTATACAATTCAACACAAATAATCCAATTAAAAATGGGCAGGGGATCTGAATAGACATTTTCCCAAAGAAGAAATATAGATGGCCAACAGACACATGAAAAGATGCTTAACATTACTCATCATCAGGGAAATGCAAATTAAAGTCCTAATGAGATATCCCTTTACACCTGTCAGAATGGCTAAAATAAAAAATGCAAGAATCAGCAAATGTTGGTGAGGACATGGAGAAAAAGGAACCCTCATACACTGTTGGTGGGAATGCAAATTGGTACAGTTACTCTGGAAAACAGCATGGGGGCAGTTCCTCAAAAAGTTAAAAATAGAACTACCATATGGTCCAATAATTCCACTACTGGCTACTTACCCAAAGGAAATACATAGACATTCCTGTAAAGAAGACATAAAAATGGTCAATAAGTCTAAGAAAAGATGCTCCACATCACTAGTCCATAGGGAAGTGCCAATCAAGACCACAATGAGATACTACTAGGATGATTATAATAAAAAGGATGGACAATAACAAGTGTTGACAAGGATGTAAAGAAATTGGAACCCTTATATACTGTTGGTAAGAATATGAAATGGTGTAACCACTTTGGAAAACAGTTGGACAGTTTCTCAAAAAGTTAGAAAGAGATACCATATGACTCAGCAGTTCCACTCCTAGCTATATATCCAAGAGAACTAAAAACACAATCCATACAAAAACTTGCACACAAATGTTTAAGCAGCATTATTCATAATAGTAAAAAAAAATAGAAACAATCCACATGTCCCATCAGTCAATGAATGGATAAATAAAATGTGGTATATCCAGACAGAATATGATGCAGCCACAAGATGAAGTAACTGATACAGGCTACAACATGGACAAACTTTGAAAATGTGCTCAGGTGTGAAAGAAACAAGATACGGAAGGTTGTACGATACTGTGTGTTCCATTTATGTGAAATTTCAGAAGAGGCAAATCCATAGAGACAGAAAGTAGGTTAGTGTTTGCCACAGTCCAGGGGGAGGAGGGATACAGTGTGACTCCTAACAAGTACATGCTTGCTTTTTAGGGTGATGACAGTATTCTGGAATTTATTGTTCCACAGCCTTGTGAATATTCTAAAAATCACTGATTCGTATACTTAAAAAAGGTTCTCTTTCCAGTGCATTTTTGCCTCACAAAGATTCACAGCTGAGTGATTAAATGCAGCCGTCCATTTTCATTCTGCCATGTCTTGGTAGGTGAAAGGTGCCTCTGTGATAAGTCTGTAAGGGGCTGAGGGGACACACACGGATATGACATTTTACAAATTTACATTTATTCCTAAACCTCTTCCTCTGCAGGAAAATTGTTCAGATTTCTGGTCATTTGGGGTCTCTTTATCTATGTCCCTGCTCTAATTCCCTGTGGTGTTTGTGTGTTGTATCTTGGCAGTGCCGACGGGGAAGTGAAGCACTGTGTGATCTACAGCACTGCTCGGGGCTACGGCTTCGCGGAGCCCTACAACCTGTACAGCTCGCTGAAGGAGCTGGTGCTCCATTACCAGCAGACGTCCCTTGTCCAGCACAACGACTCCCTCAACGTCAGGCTTGCCTACCCTGTCCACGCACAGATGCCCTCGCTCTGCAGATAAAGAGGGAGTGGGAAGAGAGGTGGCTCTCTAGCATTTTTTTCCTACAGTTTTTATTAGACTATGAGGGCATTCTTTCTACGTAGACTGCTTGTTTTGCACAAGAAGTGATTCTGTGAATGTGGAGAGGCCGAGAAGCAGCCGGCCAGGATGAGGGCGCAAGAGGCCTGAGCGGCTGTGAGACCCCGCTGTGCCGCTGCACTGACATAGGAAGCTGGAAGCAGATGTTTTTTGGAAAGTCTGTTTCATTGGGGTTTTTGTTTTGTTTAGCCAGGCGCCCTCAGAACATACTAGGTTTGATGGGGGTGGGGGTTTATATCTGGAAATCTCTGAAGAGTCCTTGTCCTCTTTTGGTCTTCGACTCTGAGAATGTGGCAGGGGCATGGCTCTGTGGGGAGTTCTGTTTTGATCTGGCGGTCTCTCTTAACTTCCTCCCAAAAAGAAGGCTGTTTTGGTTCTGTGGTAGAATGGCATTTGGTGAAAAAGATAACCAAAGGAAAACGGGGATGCATGGGATTTCATTTAGAGAATCTTAGTCAAGAGGGTAAAAACGCCTTCACTGGAGGTACTTTATTAACCCAACCTAACACAAGTTAGGTGTCAGCATCTCAGTAGCTCCTCCCTCTAAAGAAGCATTATGTTTAGAAACCAAATTGATCTCAGCAGAACAATGTTTGTTGCCAGACTAAGGTGTGATGGAAGACAGCACTCGTATCTGAATGCACACTTCTATACCAAAACTTGAAAACTAGAATTTGTTAGTTTTAGCAAACACTAAAATTGGTCGGTGTAACTCCTTCTGCCCCACCCTTGTTTCTCAGAGATGAGGAATAGTGTTCTTTTTGTGGGCATGGTGAGCTTTGAATCATAAAAAGAAGTTGGTGCTTGTGTGGTGGTTCCTTAGCCTAAAAGAATGATCTATTGTTTGAAACCTTTGTAACTTGTTTGTATGAGTAAAGAAAAGGTGCAATCCAGTGCTTTTAGATGGCTTGATATACCAAATAATGATATAGAACAACAGTCTTACATGTGCTTCCCCAAGTTTAAAGGCTGTGCAGAAACAGTAAACATGGTTTAATTTCCCTTCATCTCCCTGTCCTTTGCTGGGTAGGGCTTAGGGGAGCCAGAGGTGGCTAAGGTCGTATAGCAGGAAGGGAGCCAGACTGTTGTCAGGGACTCAGTAGTTCACAGACCCAAAGGCTGGGGTCATCTGCGTCACCCATGTGCTTCCACACAGTGGTTTCTGAAACTTTTGCAAGGAGAGGAAATAATGGCTTGGAGTTCAGACTGTTAGTAAAAGACATCTGGAAGTTTCTCTCTTTGCCTTTTTGTGAGCCTGCCATTAAGATGATGCGCACAGACTGTCCTCATGCTCCAGTGGCCCTGATTTTAGGCCAGGAATCTTCTGCTCCATGTGGTTTAAGCCTTCCAGCTGAGTGAAGCTAGCGAGTGGAGTTGGAGGCAGGCATCTACTCCTACCTCCATTATACCCCACCCCCATCAGTCCACACTTATTTGACAGAGTCCAGCTGCCTCCGAGCCAATCCTGGAACCATAATAGGTTCAGAGTGAGTCAGCTGTTTGAGGCCAAAGCTGTGCAGTCAGGCATCCTGGCTGAGCTAGAGAAGCAGCCAATATCCGGGTCTTGGTACATAAGGCTTACAGCTAGGAAAGTTCTAGTTTGTGGGATAAAAGAAATAAATACTGATTTCCCTGAGCACTTATCTTGGTGACAGGGTCTGGAATGGACCATAATGTAAGAATAGCTTACACTTTTTGGGAAAACCTCGAGTTGCTAACAATGAAGATAGGAGGGAAAGGGCATATCTTTGGCTTTTCTTTGGTTACACTACAGTTTCAGGATTAGGTGAGGCAGACAAATGAACCCCTCCCTCTAGTGTCATGTTCTGACTTAAGCCCTTAACAATAGCCAACTGCATATCCCTTCTCCACGTTGCCACGTTGAAATCTTGCTGCAAGTTTTACCGAATAATACCAGCTTAGTTGCTGCTAGGCACAACTGGATGGCTTTGTACCTGGTATTGAACCTGCTTAAGCAGCTGGATACTCAAGATTAGGTGCAAGAAATCCCTCCTTTCTGGTACTAAAATTTAGTGTGTTCCGAGTAGCTCTTCTAAAATAAAACATGAATAGGGATATATGCCTGTGACATTGAACCGGGTGTTGCTCCTTTGCAGGCAGACATTCAGGGTGTGTAGGGAGGAGAGCTAGCACCATCTGCTATCTACACTTCTAGCAAGGGCTGGCTTGTGGAGAAGGACTCTTCTTTTTTAGTCCTACATTCCTTCACTTTTTTTCCCCCTTGTTTTTTACTCTTGAATTTGTTGCTTGGTGGGAACTAAGGTCCTAGGGATCATTTGAGAAGTTGGAAAATATCTTTTCTGACTGGTTGCCACGTGATTTGCTTCATCCTGAGCCAGTGGAAGTGGCATAGGGGACCAGTCCACTAGCCATTTGGAGGGTAGTATGCAGCTCTTTTACTCCATGGTCTTGGCAGCCTTCATCTGAATGTAGCTCTGTATCCTGTCCCATGATTTGGGCCCTGGGACTGACTGACTCTCTCTCTCTCTCTCTCTCTCTCGGCATCTTAACTGCAGCCTCACTGAAGCAGGGAATAAAGAGACAGACAAGGACCAGAGGGGCTCATTGTTTTTCTGGCTAGGGAAGCCAGCCACCAGCATGGAAGCAAGCTTGAGCCTCGCTGAACCCAGGTCCTAGGTCCATCTTTTCTAGGCAGAGAATTCATCATAGAAAAGTGCTCTCTGGCTCTTCCTGATCATATAGATGCGAACTCTTGGCCATGGCTCAGGACTGTATAGGCCAGCTGTGTCCTTACCACTGATTTGGCCAAGGTTGAGGACTTCCTAATACCACCCTTACTCCATCTCCAAGCCTTGTTGGGACCTTCCACTTACTTTGGACCTCATGTGCTCTAAAGGCATTGATAGCCAAATGTGGTGTCTTCCATAAGTCTTCTCTTCTTGCTGTAAGGAACCAGCCCATGGGTCCTCTTGGGCCAAGAATTGCATCTGGACGATTCTTGGTTTTCAAGCTGGTCTCTGTTGCCAGTTAAGACTCCAGAGTAGGCCTCTGTAAGGCTGCTGTGGCCTCAAAGCAGAGGGTGCAGATGGGGGCCTGGCTGGGCTCTCTTCTGCCAACTGCTCATCCTTTCTCTAGCTCGAGCCACTTGTGACAGACAACCTTGTTTCCTTACCAATTCCAGCATGTGACTTTGGTGCCCTGTTGTTACTTGTGAAAAACCTCTTCTTCTGTTGTCTTTGATGTAGTCAAAAAACAAAAAAAAACAAAAAAACAAAAACAAAAAAAAAAGCCAACCATGTAGTTTACGTAAAAATATCTGATTCACAAAGAAGCCAACTATATGTCTTGTGTTGGGACAGTTCATAATGTAGTTCCTAGACCACTTTTGCAAATTGTTCTTGTCACCAGATGTGTTCAGACATTGCTGTGCAGTTGTGGGGGAGGGTGGGGGGAAAGTGAGGGGGGAGGTACTTTTCGGTCTTTTGTTTTTTTATCTTCCCCAAGAGGGGACAGTCTGGCCAACTTGCTCCAGTAATGCAATAAAGACATTGCAATAAAGTACCTTTTTTGTCCTCATGCTATGGAGGGGTGGGCTGGGTGAGGGAGGCAAGCAGAGGTGTTGAAAGCCCTGAAACTCCCAAACCTTCTCTGTCATGAGCCCCAAAAGATTGGTCCTGGGGCTGAACTGGAGTGCCACCGGAGATACTCTTCCTTCCCTGAACAAGAGGAAGTCACCTCTACCAGGCATGATGCCAGCGTCTCCCCCATCCAGCACAGGACACAGGGAGACTCAGACACTAACCCTGAGAAAGTTAAATCCGAGAGCTGTTTCCTTCTTGCCCCGTTCCTAACTGCTAGAAAGCCCAGCTTACGGTTTCTCATCACACCTTTCTGCCCAGAAATAAGTGTTTCCATAGTCTGTTCTGGGGGTAAATGTTTGTTGCCCAAGGCTCTTGTCACCGTCCTGCCACATCACTTTGTTAAGATTTCTCTATGTTAGGAACATAATTAACAAAATGTGACCACCTCTTTGTACAGGACATTGCAGTTTTCATGCAGTCTCTCAGGCCCCACCCAGGTGTGTAGTGAATTGCAAATCAGATTGGGTAGGGGGTAGTCCACTGTCCTAAATGCTCTTGCCTTGTCCTTTCCCCCCATATGCTAGGGAGGACCTTCCCAGATCCCAAGATTTGTTCCCACTCTCTGCATGGGACACTCAAATTACTGTCTCCAGTCTAGTCCTGACTTCTGAACTCCACCTGCTGGCTGGATACCTCCGCTGGGGCCTTGAGTGTCCCACAGGCAGTGCAGAAACCTATGCTTGGCTATGAATTCCCTTACTTTCCTACCACCAAACCTAAAACTGTCCCGTGTCCACATGACTCCTCTGCCTCTCACCTGTTAAATTACAAAAGGTGGCCCTCCTCCAACTAAAAGCCAACCTTTCCACATGTATTTTTGTATCCTGTTTTCTCCTTCCTCCTCAGGAATTCCCCCATGATCAGGTATCAATTCTTTCACTGTTGTTCTCTCAACCAGGTCATCTGTTGACATTGAGACATGGTTGGGTATGTCTCAGTCCACTTCCTGACCTCTACTGAATCCAATATTCCTTTATCTCTTTGCCCCCATTGAGAGCCAAACCTCTTAATAAAAACTGTGTAAATCTATTTCCTTTCCTCCACTATTTCCGCACAGGTTCCACCACCAGCTGAAACTGCTTTCCTTGAGGTCTTCAATAACCATCAGTTGACTACTTGCCATGAAAAACTCTCCCGTAGACTCCATGATGACTCAACATCTGGTTTTCCTCCTACATCTCTGTTCCTTTTAATTTTTCGGATTCCTCTGGCTGCCCTCTCACTGATGGCTTTTTCCCTGGCAATTTTATCCACATCCATGATTTCATCTACCATCTTCAGGCCAATTATGTCTTTGTTTCTCCTGCTCAGTCCTCTATTGGGAGGTACCTCATGGCATACTACATGGAGGGTCACCACCTAGCCCAGGTTCTCTTCTATTATTTCATATTTCAGGGTGGAAATATATAATTCACATATGATTACATAAGCCAGAAATGCAGCCATCATCCATAAGGCCTTCCTCTCTCTGATGTCTACACAAAAACATCACCAACCCATATCAATTTTACTTCCTAAATGTCAAAGACCTCACTTCTCCCCAACTTCATTGCTTCACTACTGCTTCACTTCATTGCTTCACTCTAACCTTAACACTGGAAAGGTTCTCCCTTTCTTCCATTCTTGCCCTCCTCAGGTTCATTCTCTTAACAACCAGAATTAGCTTTTCTTTAAAAAAAAATTTTTTTAATGTTTATTTTTGAGAGAGGGGTGGGGGCAGAGAGAGAGGGAGAATCTGAAGCAGGCTCCAGGCTCCGAGCTGTCAGCATAGAGCCCAACACAGAGCTCAAACCCACAAAATGGTAAGATCATGACCTGAGCTCAAGTCCAATGCTTAACCCACTGAGCCATCCAGGCACCGTTCTCTCCCCACCCCCTTTTTTTTTTTTTTTTAATATTTCAGAGTTAGCTCTTCAAAATACAAATCTGAACCTGTATAAAACCATTAATTTTCAATTGCTCTAAGGATAAACCACAGAATTCTTAAAATGGCCTGGTTTCTCCCATGTTCAGGATCTCATCCCCCACTTCAGTTATTCTTCCCTGACTCCCTCCCTTTAGACTTGGGTTTTCTTCCTTCTGCAAATATTCTTTATACAACCACCCATCTGTTCCTATGCCTTTACCAACTATTTGCTGATAGTTGTCAAATCTGTGTCCAGCTACTACACTTTCCATCATCAAGGTTGTTCTAGTTCAGACCGCCATAATGGATCACTACATCATTTTCTCTCTGGTCTGCTTATTCCACTAGAGCCTCCCTTCTATACTGAAGCCAGTGATATTCTAAAACACAAATGGGATTATAACACTTCCTTACAGTTATCTTTCAGAAACCCCTCCCCTCAGGCTAATCTGGTGGTGTTTCTCAAAGGGAACACCAATGGCACTTGAGGCAGCTGCCCTGTGCATTACAGGATGCTTACCATCTCTGTGCCAACTCCTTCCTCCATCACCCCCCACTTCCAACCCCCTAAGAGAGGCAGCTCCTCTCCCCCACAAACTGTTGCAAGATGTGCTTGCCCCTACCTCCTTCACCTATGGTATAGTGCTTCTAACCAGATCCTGATCTACATGGGAGGCTCCCCTAGGCAACCAGTTACCTGTGTTCCCAGTGTCCAGTACAGGCTGGCTGAGGGTCTGCTGCCAATGAATGACTGAAGGAAAGAGGAAGTGAGTTCAAGAAGGGACTGAAGGCTGAGGGGCCAGACATCTACTTGTAGAATCTGGCACTGTGGGCAGGGTACGCTCTCTGGCGGCCACAGCCTTCTCCATGCAAGGTGACAAAGAGCTGAAGGGTGCAGGAGGCACCCAGCCAGTGGCCCTGAGGCATTTTCCTGTCTCCAGTCCTCTGGACGCCTCTCCTTCAAACCTAGGCATTGGATTATGGGACAATCAGTGCAAGGTCACAGTTTGAAAAGTCCTGCATCACCATGGAGGTACTCTACCACAGCCCTACTTCCTGCTCCTGTGATGCCATCTCTTGACTCCTCCAACACAATGGACCCATAGATGTCCTCTCCCCTCCCACACCAACTGCTCACCCACTCGCCAATGCAGTCCTACTCACAGGGGGCTGCCCACCTTGGTAATGTCCACCTCCATTGCTAAGGCCCAACTGACAAAAGCCCAGGAAGGACTTACTGGCTACAGACATTAAGGCATTAAGACATCTGTATTTTCACTCAAATGAGCTTTCAGTATTTTAACAAGTCACTTCTCCCTCCATTTCAAAACTCTTCCCCCTCTTGGATTTTAGGACTCTCTTCTTGGTGCTGTTCCTAAGTCTTCTTTGCCTTAAACACTAGTGTTCCTCAATGTATCACTATTGCTACATTAATGGCTCTCAAATTTCTATCTTCCATCCAGATTTCCCTACTGAGTACCAGGCCCATGCATCTAGTTACCTTCTGGATGTCCCTCAGGTACCTCAAATATATCAAGTTTAACTTCCTCCTACCACTTTTTCTCATTTTCTGGCCATGAAGCCCTCCAAGTTTGGAGATAAATACGGGTTATTGAGTCAGGGGAGACCTAGGTTCTAACTGTAATTCTGCCCAAGCTGTGTTACTCTCTGAAAACCAGAGTTCCCTCCTCTATAAAGCCAGAGTATTAGTTGCTACATGGTCTTCTGTAACTCCCCATCACTTACAGAAAGTCTAAGCTCTTGGAAGATCATTAAATATGGCCCTTGCCAAACTCACTAGACCCGTTTTCACTTTGTTTTCAGTTCCCTGAATATACCAAGTATATGGTTAAGTGCTGTACTCTTTGTTTGGATACTCAGACTAATCCACCCACTCTTCTAACCCAGTAACTACCTATCATCTGTCCTTCAGGTTGGAGCTCAGACGTCGTCATCTCTGGGAAGCTACGTTGAGCTTAGGCAACCCTCCCCTGACAGGGGAAAAGTGTGTTATTCACCACTCTATTCTCAGCAGCAACAAAGACCTTGAGTTACATTTGTGTTGACTGAAAGAAAGAAACAAAAGACAAAGATGGTTTCCAAGAGCGTGTATTACACAGGTCTGAGTGCAAGAAATGGCAAACAACTGCTATGTTTGCTTTAAAAGCTCATCAGGCACCAATCCCAAGTCCTGATGCTTTTGAGGGCCCACTGGGTCTCGGCCCCTCTGGAGTGGGCTGGGCCCAGGCTCCTGGGTGAGGGGGCAGCTTCTGCGTGGAATGTCCTGCCTCCTATCACCTGAGGCATCAGGCACTTTGGTGATGCCCAGGGCTGGCTCTTCTTTCTCTATTTGTGCACATTCAGGCTCCCACAACCAGCTTTGGCGGGGAAACTCACAAGGTGGATGGACCGGCCCAGGGGCACCAGGTGGCCATGACTTCCCCTCGTCTCTGGGAGACAGGTTCTCAGGGTGGGCTGGAGTAATGGTTTCCAAATCCTGGGAGCTGGCCATCCCACCTTCCATCATTGCCTTTCTGCTTGGGGATGCCCTGTCTGGACTCTCAGTAAGAAATTTCCAGGCCCATGGGCCTGGCTCTCCAGAGGTTGAGGGGACAGCAGAGTGACTGGTTGGGAGAAGTCCTGAAGAGCTGGGACAAAGTGCTGTTAGTGCCTGGGTGTGGAAGTGCTGGGCCTTCCAGCAGCCTTCAGGAGGGATAGGGTCTGTGGGTTCAGCCTTACTTAGGCTGGGGGGGTGTGATGAGGAGCTGGCAGCCTCCTCAAAGGCTTGTGGGATCCCAAGCCTCCTCTGAGGGACACTAGGGCCTTCCATTCTGGGATCCTTCAGTGTGGTCTCTGTCAACAGGCTTGGGACTGATGGGCCTTGGCTCTTGGGATCCCTGGACAAGAAGGCATCCTCTTCCTCACCCTCTCCTGCTCCTCTGAGGGGTGGGTCCTGGCTCACTTCTGGGCTTGGTGCCAAGTTTGGTTCCTGTACACCTTGGTTGTTCTCCGGCCCCTCCTCGGCGTCATCCTCTGAGGAGTCAACCTCACGGATGGCTTCCTGCTTCTGCAGTGACTCTCGCCGTTCAGCCCGGTCCTGCCGGAGAGTGCCTAGGGCCCATGAGGGAGAAGGCTGCAACACCCCCTTTCCTGGCAGCGCCCCCTTTCCAGACAGCACACTCCGGGTCCCAACCACCTCTAGAGGGCTGACTTCCCTGGGTGGCAGTTCCTTCTTCAGCTCGGGGTGGGGCAGGTCAAGGCTCTGCTTCCGAGAAGTGGCTAGTTTCTTCTCAGAAGCAGCAAGCGCAGCTGCCAGTTTCTCAGCTGACTGTACCCTCTTAAGTAGTGGTGAGCGGGGCGGCTCTGCACTCTTGGGCCGTGAGAGCTGCCTGGCCAGAGGAGGTGACAAGTGAAGCTTGGTGGGGAAGGCCTGGGCTCCATGGCCAGACAGGGGCGATGGGGAGCGCTGGGGTGAAGCTGCTGGCGGTGGGGAAGGGGTGTGGGCCAGCGGTGACAGAGGGATGCTGCCGGCCGACTTGCGCCGCGGAGAGCGGTACTGGCGCTGGAGCTTGGGTGCCAGGCCGTGTAGGGAGCTGGGTCGCGTGTGTCCAGAGCCGGCTGGAGAACTGGGCACGCTGGAGCTGGGGGAGCTGCTCTGTGATGAATTTCCTCCCACTTCGCACACACAAACAGACACACAAAGGCAGTACAATGTTAGCTGACAGAAGTGATGAGGGGCAAGGCAGGGCTAGCCCTGGAATGTCCCGGGATCATCAAGGTGACCCTAATCAGTGGACCAGAGCCCAGGCTAGAGAAATAAAGTCACCCTCCAACCCTGTCACCTCCTCCCTGCTGGGTCTCGCAGGGGGTAGGGTGAAGCAGTTCCAGAGTGGGCCCACAGAGAAGCACAGAGGGCCTATAGGCTCTTTCCTACCTCCCAGGGGCCATCTCTGCGATGTGCAGGGAGCACTTCCTACCTGAATGCAGAGCATCAGGGGTCACCCGGTAGCCCTGAGTGGGAGATCGGGGGGAAAGGCTGTGGCTGTGTGTAGGAGAGCCTGGCCCACTCTCCCCTGATGATAAGGAGCGGTTAAGGGAAGAAAGGCTACGGCTGGTGTGCAGCAGAGATGCCTGCTTGGTGATCTTCCGGAACAAGGAGCTCTTTTTCTTGCTGCAGAGATAAGAGCCAAGGGCCGTGTGAGTTGGTGCACGGGGCATAGCATCTACCTGGCCCAATGGCCAGGGTTCCCAGCACACATGAGCACCTAGGAGGCTCACTCAGTCCAGCTCACCTTTCTTGCCCATCTTTGCCTCGGCTCCGCTTACTCCTTCGGGCCATCTTGGCCTTGTAGCTGCCCTTCCGAGCTGGCCCCACTTTAATAGATGTGTTCTCCAAGGGCGTTGTTGAAATAGACACCTTGTTTCCACTCTGGGGAACAGAGTGTGAACCCAGGCTAAGGCAGGGAACACATTTTTAATCCCACCCTTACCCTCAGGTATGGCTACCCCATGGCTGTAGCTTTTGCTCCTGCATTGATACATGGGAACCACAGGCCTGTTTTCCCAACTTCACAGATTAGGAAATGGCTCCAACTGGAGACTGGATGGTCTGGGGTTGGGAAGGTGGAGAAAAGGCTTATCTGTCTTATTCTTCAGTTCTTTCCATGGCTCAGAAGGATCCCTAGGCCTTGGTCAGTGAGGACGTTACTTTCCAGCAAAAGCCCACTGCTATGGGTGCGTCTGTCCTCAGTGCCATGGGTGTACATACCCAACTCTCCCAATTCCCCACGTTAAGTCACAGACTCATAATGCGGGGTCGTTGGGGGACCACAGCAGGCACATACCCAGCACTAACCTTTAGAATCAGCTCCACTACTTCCGTGTGCACTAACCCATGCACAGGCTCCCCGTTGACATGAGTGATGAGGTCACCCTGACGAAGCCCCGCCTCACTGGCTGGACCTCCATCCTCCACGTGCTGCCCCAGAGAAATAACAGTCCTCAGCCTGGAGCCTAAGTGTGAAGCGTGGGGCCTAGTTCTGCTGTTCCCTACCCCCCCCCCCCCCCCACACACACACTTTGTACCCGGAGGATAGTTTGAGCAGGGACAGAAACAAGGACAGACAGGCAGGCCCTGGTAGGGGGAAGGCAGAGGAGTGACGAAACTGGGAGACAACAGGTCTGGATGGCCAGACATACCCACACCATGTGGTGCACAGTGTAGACGTCTGAGTCACCCATGTAGACACGAATGGCCCGTAGGGTGAAGCCATACTTCTTGCCAGCTCGGTGGATGACAATGGGGGGCCTCGAGCTGCTGAGAGCTGGCAAAAAGTCCCTGCTTGGAGAAGAGTCCCTGGATGATGGGTTGGATGACTGGGAATGTGGGGACATGGGGCTGGCCAATGGAGAGCAGGTGTGTTCTGGAGAAAGAAAGACAGGACTGAGCATGTCAGAGGACCCTGGCCTGGCCATGCTTCCAGCCCAGCCCCATCTAGACTAGGTTGCTGATCCGACACAGCTGTAGTCACAGGCAGACACTAAGCCCAGGGATGCCTTCATCACAGACTCGGAGCAGCAAAGCCCGCCTCACGTGCCCAGACCCTCCCCGGGAGGTGATGGAAGCTAACACTCACTGAATACGTACTTGTATCCCTCAGGGGCCCCCTGTATGTATTCAAATGTTGCACTTACCCTATGAGCTACCACTAGTAAGGTCTACCTTTTTTGATGAGGAACTTGAAACTCAAGAGAGGTTAAGCAACTTTGTCAAGGTCAGGAGCCAGGATTTGAATGTAAGCTCTCTGCCTCAGAGCCTGCACTCGTTACACGGTGCCATCTTGCCTTGTGGCATATGCACACACAACCTGACACCCATGCACACCTTCAGAGACCTCTAATCTCCTAACAAGGAGGCAGCAGTGACACACAGTCTCTCAGACACCTGCTCCTTAACACAAGACATACAGACATACCCGCTGTGTGCAGACCACTGCCCCAGGCCCAGAGACTCCAGGGCCCTTCCTGTGAGTTTTATCCTAGTTCCCTGGGGGCCTTACCTGCAGGAATGAGAAGGGACAGGGTTGTGGCTGAGGCGGACTTGATCACTTTGTTGATGGGGCGAGTGGTGCGCTTTTCTGCAGAGTCCCCGGAGAGCAGCCGGTGGCGGGCCCTGCGTACCGCCAGGTCACTGATGGCCTTGGCTGTGGCTCCCTCGGTCAGCTGTGGGGTCCCGCGGCCTCCTCGAGTCTCCAGAGCTGTGGGCGCAAGTGAGCACTAAAACCTGCAATGCAGCGGAGCGTCCCCCCGCTTGCCTGCCTGCAGCGCCCTCCATCCCAGGCCTTCTGGTCACTTGCCGGGCCACACCTGGACTGGAGCTGCAGCTCTGGCCAGTGGGCTCCTCGTCTAGCTTCAGCCGCCGCTCCACTGGCCGTTCAGGGACAGGCCCAGATACCCCTTCTCCAGAAGGGGGTGTCAGAAGCCATGTACCCTCCAGCTGCTGCCTCCTGGGGGTGCTGCTAGCCTCCTCAGGGCCCTCAGGGAAGCGAGGAGCATCCAGGAGGCCTGAGCAGCGGCGTCGCACTGTCAGTGGAGGGCTTGAGTCGCTCTCGGTGTGGGAAGACTCAGACACTGACAGCCGCTTCCGCAATCTGTGAGACACAAGGCCCAGGGTGAGACAGGCAGGCAGTCTCCCTCCTCCAGCTCAGGCTCCCTGAGGGGCTCACGAGAGCTGTAAGTCATAGAACTTTTTTCCTCAGACATTCCTTCGGGAGTCATCCCTGTGATGCCCCCTCACTACCCCCCAGCATCTGAATCTCGCCCAAGATCTGTGACAACTAATGGATGGCTACGTTGCCCACCCTCGGTGGGTTCTGGATGCTCACATCTCAGGGGAGCCAATCACCCAGCTCCGGTCTCGGCCCTTCAGCCCTGCCAGGCCATCGGAGCGGTCGTCCTTCTCTTCGCTCAGGCTGCGTTTGGTGGGGGGTGGCACCCGGCGCTCCTCGAGCAATGAGAGCCGCTCCATGCTACTGTACACCTGTGGGCACAGAGTCTGTGCCGGGGACAGAGCCCAACAGCCGCACCTCCCCAAAGTATCCTTGGCACCTGAAACCCAGGAATTGGAACCAGTTCTCCCCTTCCCTCCTCCATACCAGGTGAATATTCCAGAAAGTGGCTACTCCACTGGCCTGACTGGGCCTCACCCCCGGCATCTCTGATGTCAGGGCCTGAAGTGGTTCCTGCAGTACCTGTCATATGCAGGCCAGGCCCTTTCTTCCTCCTTCCCTAGGGATAGCCCCATCACCTGCTGCCCCCACCTGGCCCAGGCATGTTGCTTGACTGGTCCTCTCCTCCCAGTCCTCCCCAGCCTGGGCCTGCTCCATCGCACCTTGCTGAACCTTGGAGAGCATGATGAGAACTGGCGGATCTCCAGGCAGCCATCCTCACTCACTTCTTCCTCGTCCTCTGAGTCCACGTGGTGGTAGCGCTCAGAGCGGGCTGGGTTAGACACACAGGACAGTTCCCTTTAGAGGCCCCGAGTGGTGCCTCCTTTTGACCTTTATCAGATCTCAGGGGGCCTGGAGAAGTCACTCCCAGTGCCCAGTTCAGGGTGCACAGACGTTTCTGGGCAAAGAGGTAGGATCCCCACTCCTCCCCATCCCACCAATGGCCTTACTGTCAAAGTAGCTGGTATCATCCTCTGACTCCAGTTGAGGAATAAATTCAGCCTTCTGGCGAAGAAGTCCTGTCCAGTCCAGACCAGTAAAGAATGGGTGCTGCTTCACCTCAGAAGCACTGCCTGGGGACAGGGAGGGTGTGGGCGAGGGCGCTGGATGAGCTGCATGGAGTCCAGGCCAGCAAGTCTGGTGGGAACTGAGACCTCGAGAGGCCAATCCCAAAGGCCTCAGCTATGGCACCTTTCTTCTTGTGCTCACAGGAGCAGGGCAGTCTCAGGACCAGACCACACCTATAGCCTGAGCTTCCCAGTTATATGGACTCTACCTCCCTCTTCCCTCTTCCAAGTTGTGACAAAAGGTCAGTGGGGCCTGTCCTACCTGTCCCCAGTCTCTCCAGAGGGTTCTGGTGGAGCAGTTTAGAGGTGAGGTCCTGGGCGTCTGGTGGCAGTGCATCCTCCCCCTCAGGCCACACAATCTCATCTGAAGAGTTGGGGGTAAGAGGGAAGGAGTGGGTTAGAAAAGGGTCTCAGAGGTTGTGGGCAGAGTGGGGAGATAAAGAAGAGGTTTCTATGAGAAGACATGGGTAGGGAGGCATAACGGCCCCAGCCCAGAGCCCCTGAAAGCCTTGCCTGGGACGCAGCTCCTTAAGTTCTCTAGGTTCCTGTCCTCCTAGGGGGTCACACACACCCTAGCCTGCAGCTTGCTCTTGACCCAGGACTGTCCTGTCCTAAAGCTCCAGCTCACCCCGCCTTTACACTTCAGACACTAGTACACTCACACATACACAAATGCACACTCACAGCACACACACACATACACAACACAGGCATATGGGGATACGTGAACACAAATGGAACAAGCCCCATGTGACACACACGGTGCACAGGTACACACACGCATGCATCTAAGAGGCAAGTATACTACACACACACACTAACTCAGAACAAGAACTCATAAGCCTCACAGGTGCATGTGTAAATCATATTTGTGGGTCCAGACTCTGTCTCCCCAGTGTGCCAGGGTGATGGTACCTACCACTGATCACTTGCCCAAAGAGCTCCTCCGGAGTATCTCCAAAGAAAGGGACGCAACCCACCAGGAACTCATACAGGATTATGCCCATGGCCCACCAGTCCACTGGCTTCCCATAGCCCTGACGCAGGATCACTTCCGGCGCAATGTACTCCGGGGTCCCGCATACCTGGGCACAGAGAAGTTGGGCTGGCTCATTGGCATAACAGCCGAAGAAGTGGGGTTGTTCCCACCTCTGGAGAAGAAAGTCTCTAAAGGAAGACTCGGCTTACTTTGGTTAAAGAACAAGATCAACAGGAACCCAGGGTACCAGAGCTGGAACTGTTGGTGGAGTGAATTTATGTACTTCCTAACTAACCAAAACATATAATTCTAGCCTGGAACAACCTCTCCCTGGGCCCTCAACACCTCTTTCTGGCATCTTGTTCCCACAACTGGCCTCTGCCCTCCAGCCTGCCAAAGACAGACCCTACAGTCACATGACTACTATAGGGACTTGCAAGTAGTCACAACCTGAACTGTCAAGTCAAGGAACATCCAGAGGCTATTCTCAAGAAGCTGGGCTATAATCCAGTGGACGTGGAGTGGTGTTCCAAGAACAGGCTCCAGAAGAACCTTGCCCTTGACGGAGGCTAGGAGGTAAGAGTAACAATGGTGATACAAACTATTTTCTCCAAACCCTGAGGAAGATGATGATTTTGGATTTAATAGCCATATGATTTTTGTGGCCCACCCTATTTTCCAAATGTGCTACTTGCCTCAATACCTCTCTGGAACCAAAAGGTGGAAAAGATAGGAGCTCCCAGTCTTAACATCTAGCTAAGTATGTGGCCCCTCACCCTACCCTTATTCTGAAGTCTGGAACTCAACCCCAAAGGTCTCAGCTATCTTTCCATACCTGCTTGTCCAGGAACTCCCGGGCATCCTTTTCAATGTGGCCCTCATACAAGTTTGTTGTCAGGCTCATGAGGCCAATTTTAGAAAGGCCAAAGTCAGTAAGCTTGATGTGCCCCATGGATGTAATCAGGAGGCTGGGAAATCAGAGAAACAAAAGACTGGAGTTATTTCCTAGTTTTCCAAGAGTGCTGATTTTATATATACCAAAATTTCCCACTCAGGCTTCTACAGAGTTCCTGTGAGATATAAGCAGGGTAGCTTCATCAGGGAGATAGCTATGAAAAAAAAAATCTCTGGCTTTGGGAGTACTACATTCTGAATAAGCAACTAACCTGCTCTTTGCCCATTCCTCCAACTCATTAATGTTTACTCCCCTCAACTATATTCTATGCTGGGGGCAGGAACCAGCCAGCTGATGGACAGACTCTATTCCACAGAAAGATCAGCCTCATCCCACGGCTCTAGCCATACCCAGTCCTCTTTCTTCACTGGGTGTCTCATGATACCCAGACTCAGGGAGAGGAGAAATGGGTACATCATCTTGCTCCACATGCACAACTGGTTTTAAAATTTTTTTAAAGCTTATTTATTTTGAGAGAGAGCAAGAGTGCGTAAGGAGGGGAGGGGCAGAGAGAAGGAAAGACAGAATCCCAAGCAGGCTTCACATTGTCAGCGCAGAGCCTCATGCAGGGCTTGAACTCATGAACTGTGACATCATGATCTGAGCCCAGATCAAGAGTCGGGTGCTCAACCGACCATGCCACCCAGGTGCCCCTCCATAGCTGGTTTTAAAGGAGGGCTGGTAGGGAGAAACCAGAAATAAGATCTCACAGAGAATGGTCTTTTTCTTCTCCCATCACATACTCTGCCAGGACCATTTCACTTCATGACAAAGGCTTCACCCTGCCACCCCTTTATTCTACAATTCCCAAATCAGCATCTGACTTCTTTTATGAGCTTCATGCCTACTAACTGCCCAGATGTCTTATGGGCACCATGAACTCAACCTGTCCAAAACAGAGTCACACTGCCTAAGTGGTCTTCTTCTCAGAAAATGATTTCTGTTATCTCTGAGCTCTGTGATAAGTAGTTTATTATTTATAAAAATATTCTGGCTCCCAAAAGGTCTTATACAGTAACTAATGCAACAAAGGTGGGTATTATTATCCCCAATTTTTAAGAGAAGGAACGTGAAGCTCAGAGAGGTTTAATGAACAGACCCAAGCTCACAGAGTTAACAAGGGGTCATGTGAACTCAGTGTCTACTGTCAAACTCTGTCTAGCGTCAAAGCCACTTTCCACCACAGAGGCTTTTCCCCATGCATTAGTCCTAAGCTAGAAGTCTGGACGACACCCCAGACTCCTGCTCCCTTGCTTCTCTCCCACCACTCACACCAACCTTTTGGTTTCCTTTCTACTTCCTAGCACTATCTCCTCTCTTCTGCAACCTGCAGGTCTGGTTATTTCGGGCCTGGTCTACTGTAACAGTTTCACCACTTTTTCCAATGCACAGTGCGCTTTCTAAACCTAAACCAAAATCTGGGCATGTCGTTCTATCATACCCTTGGCTAACAGGCCCTTTGAAGACTTGTTAGGATGCTTTTTTATTTTATTTTAATCTTATCTTATCTTATTTTATTTAAAATGTTTATTCTTGAGAGAGACAGGCAGACAGACAGACAGATGGTGAGTGGGGGAAAAGCAGAGACAGAGAGGAAGACACAGAATCTGAAGTAGGCTCCAGGCTCTGAGCTGTCAGCACAGAGTCTGACATGGGGCTCGAACTTATGAGCTGTGAGATTGTAACCTGAGCTGAAGTCTGACACTTAACCAACTGAGCCACCCAGGTGCCCCCGACCCTTTAAAATAAAACCCAAACCTAACAAAAAGACCCCTGATGATCTCATCCCAGCCTATCTCTCTAACATTCTCTCGTACTACTCTGACCAATTAACAATCTCCATTTCCGCATACTGTAGTTCCCAGGTCTTATTCTCTCACACCTGGGTGGGTGCCTTTGGAAATCCTGCTTCGTAGCTTAGAAAGCTCCTCTTCCCATCTGACTTGTGCCTTCCGAGAAGCAGCCTATACTCAAATATTTCTGTTCCCATACTACACTTACGTTCTATAGGCCAGGGACTACTTTACAGCCCAGGTTACAGTGCTTGCCCCAGAGAGGCCAGTATATGTTAGAACACTTGTGCATCCAGCTACTAGATGTGCTGATTCTTTTGTTCCTGCTTGGTTTCTTTAGTGGAGCTCCTCAGTGACTCTTACATGTCACCAAAGCCTTATGATGTGCTTGCCAGACTTACTGGCAATGGTCTTTGCATTTGGGGTGGTCAGGGGCTAGAGTACTAGGCCAAGATGGACAACCACAAGAGCACTATTTCCTAGCATCCATTCTGGGATAGATTCAAACATGCTGTGTCTGCCTCCATTTATTTAGAGACCCGAGGGAGTCCTTGGACAAGGGACTAAGAGGGTAGGCATACTTGTCAGGCTTGAGATCACGGTGCACGATGCCGTAGTTGTGTAAGTACTCCAGGGCTAGCACGGTTTCTGCGAAGTACAGACGCACCATGTCCACAGGCAGGGCCCCGATGTTCTTAAGCAGAGTAGCACAGTCTCCTCCTGCAACAAGCCCAGGCCACCATGAAGGAAAGATCCAGTTCCCTATTCTAGACGGTCTCAGGCTTTACAGTCTCTGAGGCCCCAGAGAATGGCCTGGGGCCAGAGACTGTGAATCTAGCCCTTCCACTGCTGGTACTGGGGAGGAGGGGCAGACAGAGTGTGGAGACAAGTAGGCAGCAGGGTGAATCTGCCAATGGCTGTCAAGGCCACTGTTCAGGCCAGAGAGGGTAGGAACCCAGGCATTTGTGCCTGTGAGTGCACTTGCAGGGATGGAGCCGAGTTATTTTAGGGTATGAGTCTTGTATATTATAAACACATCTGACCGAGACTTCAGCATTTGTTCACTTATTTCCTTCCTGACAACTATCCTTTGGTTTTCGAGTGAGGTAAAACTGTAAACTCCCAGCATGTAGCCTCTGAATTAAAAGGGGAGTTTTGTTCAGTTTCAACGTCAAGGCTTAGGCAAAATATCTTTGGCAGTTGTACACAACCGTGAGAGGGGATGTGGGAAGGACACTGGCAAAGCTGCTGTCTCTCCCCATGTGCCCCGTGATGCTCTTCTATTCCACTCCCAGAACATTTTGTGTTCTTAAGGGGTGCTCCCTTCACAAGCCAGGGCAATGGCATTCCTTTCTTCTGAGGGTCCAGATGCAGTCCTCCCAGCATGCAACCTTGGTCTGTGTGGCCCTGCTACCTCCTTTGTTCCTGCCTGGGGCCAGCAGTAGAGACCATCCAGGCTTTGGAGTGCAGGATTCTACAGCTATTGGACTGATATATCTTGTCCCAGAATGTCTCTCTTTGCACCTGACATGGGCAGCCTCATAGCAGCTACTGCTCCAGAGGCCTCCCCCTATGAGGGGCAGAGAGCCTCGTGCCCACCGTGGCCAAATGGTCTCTGAGATCCTAAGGCAGAAACCAATGCCAGAGAGAGACTGGGAAGTTGGGCTCTGAGACTTCACCGCTATACAAAGCTGTTGGTCCCAGCTCAGGGCTAAGCCTCATGTTGTACCTTGGCCTCCATGCCAGGCCACCTTTCCCAGTACCTTCTACATACTCCATCACCATGCACAGGTGGCGCTTGGTCTCAAAGGAACAGAACATGCTGACGACAAAGGGGTTCTCAGCAAAAGTCAATATGTCACGCTCCACAAAGGCCTGCTGGATCTGGTTCCGTAGGATCAAGTTCTGCTTGTTGACCTTCTTCATGGCAAAGCGCTGCCGAGTGGACTTATGCCGCACCAGGAATACAGCCCTGGGAAACACAGCCCAGCCCAGACCCCATGGGCCCTCAGCACCGAGGCTGTGCTCCCCACCACCCAGAGCCAGTGTCCAAACTGCCTCCTATCATACCTTGTAAATGCACAGAGCAAAGGAGCAGGGGTGAGCTTATCGATGAAAAGGATGTGGGCCCCCTGCCAATATAGCTCTGCAATTTCCCAATATACCAAGTCCTGAGGACAGAGCTCAGCCCTTCCTCAGAGCTCAGTATAGGAGGAGTGCTAGCAAGAGAGGTGGGGACCTTGTCTGGGAAAGGAACAACGCCCAGATGTCAGAGGAAACTGAGTTCTTGTCTCTCCAGGAGGTTTTGGAGAGGGAGAGGGTCTATCCTGAGGCAGTTGCTGCCTGGAGGATTGGGCATCGTACACGTCTAGAAGGAAGAGTCCAAGGGCTGACTTAGCTCTAGTCCTGGCTACACCCTCCCCTCTGCCTTTACCCATAGGCGCCATTGCTGATGAGCTTAATGGTCTCGAAGTCCTCTTCAGAGGGTGTCTTTTTAGCCAGAGATGCCCCACGGCCCTGTAAGACAAGAGCAAAGGCAGGAGGCAGGCATGCTTCTCAGAGCCCACGTGCCTGGGGAAGCCAGGCCCCTGATCAGCTCAGCTCTCGGTCTTGCTGTGGCCCCCACCCATTCTTCCTCAGTCAGGAGCTGAATGACTTCTGAGTTAGTACGTACAACCACCCACCCTCCATCCCTCCTTTAGGTATTCTCTCACAGAGGACTTGCGGATATTTGCTTCACAGGGCCCAGTCTTCATGACTGGGGCAAAAGCTAAAGGTCTTTACCTCAACTGAATCATCTGTCTCTGGAGTGTCAGGACTGTCATAGCTGCTCAACTGGGCCATTTCTAGAAACAAAGCAAGGGCACAAGAGAAAAGTGTGCACAGCAATGTCAGGCACTTGAGTAGTCCACTCACATTACATGATAGGTACTTGCAAGGTAGGACTTCATATTTCCCACATCTGTGCAGTCCTGTGGCTCTATCCTCAGAGGAGTCACAGATTTTGGACTTATTTGCCAAATAATATTGCCACTCCTATTTCTAGAAGTCCAATGCCATTCACTAGGCCTGGCAAATTCCAAAATGTTTCCGTCAAATTTAGGACAATTACTGGAAAACAGGCCCTAAGGGTGGGCTACTGGTCCCTATCCTGCTTTGCCGGATGGGGTTGGGGAGCAGAGAAGGCAGGAGCAGGGTGAGGACAGGCCAGGAACTTAGAAGCCTGGGGTTCATGAAGGGGCACAGTGTGACGCCCCAGGTCAGGGCCACACCAAAGACACAGGAGGACTTGTAAGGTGGCAGACAAGGAGGTAAGCATGCAGAGGAGGGGACCATTTTTGAAAATGTAACTGTGGTCCTTTGTTGTTGACCTCTTTTGATATTAGGTCCCAAATCCAACCCAAACTGGGCTCACAGCAATCCAGCCTGGGTTAGTGTCAGGCAGATCTGAAGGAGGAGCTGTTTTATAATAGAGAATACAGGCTTCCTCCAATACCCCTGAGGCCCCTGATGCTGAGTCACATCCGTGTCCAATCTAAGTCTCTTCTCCAAGTGGCTTTCCTGAGGTTAGAGCTTGTTGGCTGTGGGGCCTCTTTGCAGGCAGCATGCTCACCCTCTAGGGGATCCCGTGTGAGGCCCAGTTGACTAACGATGTAGCGGGGAATGTCACATTTAATCCCTTGTCCCTCTTTGGCATGGCCCTCGGCTGCTTCTAACAGGTGGTAGAACTCTTCAGGGTCAAACTCCTGTACCAGGGGAGAGAGGTGGTCAGTGGTGAGGGCTACACATGAGGGCTCTGGTTTTCACAGCACATACCCAGAAGAAGATGAACAAGAAAACTTTCTCTTTATGATGGCATACCCCTGCCTCCAAATGCCCTGAAACATCATGATTCACAGATCATGAGAATGGGGACAAAGCTGTCTTCCAGGTCAGCTCCAGACTGGACATCCTAAGCATGTGCTGTCTTCCTGACAATAAGAACCAGAGCTTTTGGCTTCAAGAGAGCTCAGCCTATTCACCTGGGCCAAAGCCTTCTGCCAGCCAGATGACACTGTCACACACATGCGCACAAGTACGTACAGGCCTGCCTTCAGATATTTACCAAGCACCTCCTACGTGCTAGGACCAGAATGCCATGTGGACAACATAGCCATCCTTGTCTGCACAGAGCACAGAATAATGAGGGTTCTATTTACTGAGTCCCTACTAAGTGCTACACTTAGTAGCTAAACCCTGCTAACACCTCTATGATCTCAGTGAGGAAATCAAGGCCCAAAGAGATGCACTGATTTAATCATGGTCACAAAGACAGGAAGGGACAGAAAGCCAGCATTCAAACCCAGGCCTGACTCCAAGCCCTGTCCAACCATGGACTTCATGTTCTTGAGGAAGAGGCCCTCTGCTTTACCATAACCCCAGATTCCCTCACCTCTGGTCTCAACATTTTGGAGACTCATTCACTGTCACAGGAGAGTAATCTTTTTTCTGAATTTAAAATGTGAATTAATCTAATAAGCCAGATCTGGAAGTCCTTCTAACTTCTTATTCTTCCTCAGTCCCTGTCAGGTCAGAGTGTCTGCCTCCTAAACCCCTAAGGCTCCTCCATCTACCTCTTCTCTTTGCCCCTACCACAGGCCTCCTCAGGCCACTCCTACTCTCACATGAACTGCTGCTTCTGGACTATTTCCCTGGTCATCCTGCCCTCTCTTCCAATTCACCATCTATGTTGCAACCACAATAATCTTTCTCAGGAGTAAATCTGATGGAATGTTACTCAGAAACAAATAGGAACCCATTACTGATGCATGCAACATGTATAAAACAAAAAAAATTATGCTGAAAGAGTTTAGAACATACTACATAATTTCATCTACACAAAACCACACAAAGGGCAAACTTATCCATAGCGGAAGAGAGTAGATGTGCAGCTGCCTGGCAGTGGGAGGTGAGGGATGGGAGAGAGACTGACTGCAAAAGGCACAAGGGGACTTTTTGAGGTGAAAGAAATGTTCTCTGTCTTAACTGTGGCGATACGAAAGTGTGTATTTTATTAAAACTCACTGAACTGTATACTCAAAAAGGATGTATTTTATTGTATATAAATTATATGTTAATAAAGTTGGTTTAAAAAAAGTAAATCTGGGGCACCTGGGTGGCTCAGTCAGTTAAGCATCCGACTTCGGCTCAGGTCGTGATCTCGCAGTTCCTGAGTTCGAGCCCCACATCAGGCTCTGTGCTGATAGCTCAGAGCCTGGAGCCTGTTTCAGATTCTGTGTCTCCCTCTCTCTCTGCCCCTCCCCTGCTTGTGCTCTGTCTCAAAAATAAATACACTATAAAAATTTTTTTAAAAAGTAAATCTGACCATATCACATTCTTACCTAAACTTTCTGGTGGCTCCAAGTGGCCTTCAGGATAAGCCCAAATTCTGGAGCAGAGAACCCAACCCTACATGATGCCACCATGCCTATCCTCCAGGTTTCTCCCTCATCAATTCTTCACACGCACCCTGCACTCCATTGAATGCCCTTCCCAGGCAAACTCATAATCATCCTTCATGTTCCCCAAGGACCTTCCAGCAAACGTCCATCCCAAGGGGGACTAAGGCACCTCCTTCCTTCTCCATGTTCTTGTCACACCTTGGACTTCCCTCAGTTGCAACACTACCTGCAGTATCATAATTATTATTTCTACGTCTCCACACCTCCTACCCAAGGCATTGAAAGACCTGTCCACTGCAGAGGGAGCACCTTAGTCTCGGGGACTCTGCTATGTTTAGGTCTGTGTCTCCAGTGTCTGGCATGGAGTAGGTGCTCAGTAAAGTATTGCTGCATGATGAACTGATGGACTCGACTTGTGCTAACAGAACTGTCCTGTGCTCTTCACCACCCAGAGCCCAGTCACCTGGGGCCTGCTCAGTGTGTGTGGGCCAGACAACTATACATTAGGACCAGCCATTTTCCTCACAGGAGCTCGTTTGGGCCCCAATGCCAGCATACCACATTTAAATATGGATGTCAGCAGCAGAAATGACAGTGGTGCTACCATAGTTTTGCTGTTAGCAGGATACTTCCTCTGTATGCCCCAGCCCTCCCAACCTTCTCTGGAGCCCACTCACCAGGCATTCCAAGAGCCGAGCTGGGCGGGCAATGACAATCATTAGCTTCTTCACCAGCTGCATCACAAAAGCCACTTCTGAACTCTCTGAGCGCTCATGAGCCTGTAGAGAAGACAAAGGTTGGTTAAGCAATCCACTGGCACTTTGTGGTTAGGCTAATGCAGGACTGGGCTGGGCAGAGTGGACTCTAGGGAGACACCAGTTGGTAGCACAGAGACTGCTGCAAAATGAAGGACTTAGGGAAGGTCTGTGCGTCACAAGAGAGAGCAGGAACTGTGTGAACTTTAGGACACTACATGACACTGGGGAATGCCACGGAGACATGTGGCTTTACCTGTCCCTCCATCCAGACCCTAGCTCAAGGGACAACTCTCAGGGGAGTTTCACTATTCACTCCCCACCCCAGGCAGAAGGTCAGGAATAGAAAGACTTCAAAGCAGGAATGATGCGACCAGACAGGTATTTTAAAAAGATCACTCTGGCTGTAGTGTGGACGGTGCACTAAAGAGCACAAGCCTGAAAGCAGGAAAACCCATTAATGGATTACTGTAATAATGTGCACAAAAAAGGCATAAATCAAGGCAGGAAGAATGGAAAGAAACAGACAGCCTAGGCCATTTCAGAGGTAGATGACGGAGTAGAGCAGAGGGTTGGATGAAGCAAGAAGAGAAGGGAACTGCAACTGCAGTTTTAGGAAAAGTTCAGTGATCGTATAAATAATATAGGAAACATATCAAGATAAGTAGTTCAAGTGAGGGAAGATGGAGAAGCTCCATTTTGGACTTGCAGAGTTTCAGGTACCTAGATTAGATACTTTCTTGGGTATTTACTCAGCCCAGGAGCCTTTCTCTTTTTCATGGAAACTGCCCTTCTAGTAGCTACAACTGTACTGAGTGGCTGCACCTTCCACCCCACTTCCAACAGCTGACAAGTGTGGATTACTCTCCTAAAATTTAAAAATGGATGGCAAGACAACTGTTATCATCAGTGTGCTAGAAGCATATAATCTACTGTTGGATGAAAAGGGATGGCCACATCTACCAAAGAGACCAAGGAAAAGCAGCACAGAGGAAAATGGCATGAAGGAGAATCATTACTTCCTGGGCTTCCCACAGCTTCTGGTTTCTAGTTTTGGTCCCTTAAGACTGGGTTGCATTCCTGTCTTTAATTCTCTAAGACCCACCCACCCTTTTCATCTTTATAATTAGTTTCTCCTTCCTGCTTAAACTACTTTGAGTTAGCTTTCTATTACTTGCAACCAAAGAATACTAACCAATCTGGAAGTCAAAATGGAGGAGTCCAATAAGCCATGGACTGGAGCTCCAACATTGATGTGGGGCTAAAGAAACAAAGAGAGAAGTGGCCAGGTGGTTGTCCTCAGCACATGGGCGACAATGGAAGACATAGAAGGAGATGAAGCTGTTAGGGAGAGTGTGAAGAGAGGAGAAAGAGGAGAACCGACACTCAGGGTCGTACCCTGTGGAACACCAGCATTTAATACTTTTATGTATTTTTTAAGTTTTTTTTTTTTTTTTCAATAATCTCTACACCCAACATGACGCCAAACTTATGGCCCCAAATCAAGAGTTGCATGCTCTTCCAACTGAGCCAGCCAGGTGCCCCCTAAAGCCAAAAGAATGCCAGCATTTAAAAGAAGGAATTTGTGAAAGGGCAGCAAGACTGGAGAGAACAGTGTCATGACCCCAAGTGTGAGAAAAAGGTCCAGGAGAGTCACACTGTAGAGCTCGGCAGAGTTGTGAAGTCTGAGGATCGAAAGAGGCCATAGGATCTCTTTGGCAACTGGCCATCTGGTTGCTTGGTAACGTCTGCCTGAAACAGTGTTAGTGGAATGGTGGGAAGGGAAAGTAGAAGGAAGAAGACTGAGCAGTGAATAGGCTGTTAGTAAAGAAAAATAGCAAATAAGGACCATTACAAAAAATTGATTATGAAATGAAGAGAGAGGCTGGGCACATCATGAAATTTTGTTTATTCTTTTAAGACTTAACCCAAATATCAACTCTGTGAACCCTCAATGAGGTCCTCTGCCTGTACCTCCCACCCCACCCAAACACATAAGAACAGGAACTAACTGCTCCCTCTTCTGTTTCATTTGCTTACACGACATGGTGCCACATATTTTTGTTTGTTTGTTTGTTTAAAATTTATTTTAGAGAGAGAGCAGGAGAGAGGGGAAGGGGGCAGAGAGAGAGACAGAGAATGAATCTTAAGCAGGCTCCATGCATGGAGCCTGACTCGGAGTTCAATCCCATGACCCTGGGATCATGTCCTGAGTGTCAGACATTCAACTGACTGAGCTACCAGGCATGCCCTACACTTTGTTTTATAATTAGTTGTCTGTTTCTATAGCTACACTATAGAGCCTTACTTCTTTAAAACTTTGGTTTCCTCATCTGTAGATTTAGAGAATCTAAATTTAGAGAATCTTACCTACAGTGTTGTTGTGAAGATTGAATTAGATCAGTTAAATGAGATAATGCAGTGTCTAGTATGCATTAAGTGCTCTACAATAACAGTGATGTTTATTTATTTTTTTTTGAGACTGTGCAGTTCAACTTTTTATTTTAATAAAATCAGAATATGCACAGCACATGCAGTGCTAGCATCTAAACTAATACAATAAGCAATTACTAAAGCTACAGTGACTTGAGGTTCAATCTTTACATTCAGCAAGTTTAAATCCATTCTTATGTGATTTTTGAAACCTTGTTAACTGAAAATATTGCTTGCTGATAAAACTTGCTCAAATGCTATTGCTGAATGTACAAGTCACTGAATATGCCAATACAACAAAGATAACCACATGTTTGAGGATTGCAATGTGCCAGACATTCACTGAAAAAAAAAAAATACACACAACTAAACAAAACTCACGCAATGTTTATTTTTTTTTTTTTATGTTTATTTATTTGAGAGAGAGAGAAAAAGAGTGTGAGTGGGGGAGGGGCAGAGAGAGAAGGAAACAGAATCTGAAGCAGGCTCCAGGCTCTCAGTGGTCAGCACAGAGCCTGACACAAGGCTCGAACTCACGAACCACAAGGTCATGACCTGAGCTGAAGTCAGATGTTTAACTGACTGAGCCACCCAGGTGCCCCATTGATGTTTATTCTTTTAAATATAAATCTTACCATGCCATTTTCCAAATTACAACCATTAATAATTTTCCCACTGCCTTCATGATAAAACCTATGCTCCTCACAGACACTTCAGCCTTTGCCCCTCCCCGCTGCCTGTCCCATTCTAATTTTCCCTGCAGACATCCTTCACCTAGTCATGCCAACCTACTTCATCTGCAATTCCTGGAATGTCCCAAGTTCCTTTATACCTCTCAGAGTGGCCTGATTCCAGGCGCTAGCTGGTATCAGCTGCTGGTGGGCAGACTGACCTTACGTGGTTGTTCCTGTGTATCCTTTGATGACTCTCTTGACGCATTTACTGTTTACATTTGTTTTGCTTACACAGGTTTGTAAATATTATTGCCTAAGATATTTGTATATAACTTGTAGCTTTTATTTAGTCAAAATTCACATGTTAATGACTTATGATAGTGTCCTACTCCTGCCATTATGTGGTTAAAAAAGAAAATAATTCCTCTCAAAAATTTTAATGTGGAAACAATAAATTTCACAGGAGGGGAAAAAAAGGAAAAAAGAACAAAAATTATTTTCCTAGTGACTCCTACCTACTCGTCAAGACTCAACTTTTCCAGAACTCTCCATGCAATCAGCATATCTTCCTCTGTGCTCAGAACTGACCTCTAATATTTAGTGCTCATCAATTCACAATTACTATAATACACAAAAGTGCGATAATTCACGTAGAGCACTCAGTGTGGTGTCTGGCACACAGTATACTTCCATAAATGACAGCTGTTATTTTTACTGTAATGATAGCTTTTCTTTTTACTTGTTGATGGGTCTATAACCCCACTTAGTAGCAAATTCCTTGAGCTGGAACCTGCAATTAACTTTTTTCTGAATTCTTAGGGCCTAGAAAATTAGGGAGCAGATGAACTTACTGACTCCATAGTCAGTGTTCTTGTTGCACCAAACAACCTACTCCCGGGGGAACAAAAGTTTGGGAAGACACCTGAAAGGTGTTGGGCAAGGCTCTCACTTTAGCATTTAAGGATATCAATCTTAGATATACAAGCAACCTGGGAAGTCACTCTACCTTGATCCCTTACCTGATGCCACAATCCCAGATTCCTATCCACTGTTGGAAAGTTATTCTTGAACAGAAACAAAGAGCTGCCAGGGATCTGCATGCGAATTTAGTTTTCTAAAATCATATTTCTACAATGTCTAAATTTAAGTATTACTCTTGAAACCAGAAAAAACCATTTTCATAGAAGGAACTACTTTTTCATCTATTAAATCAAAACTTTTCTCACTGTAACTCTTGCCCAGTGGGTTAACAGAACTTTTAGAGGATGGAGAACAATTTGCTACCTATTATGTATGAGAAATCTTCCAATATTAGTAATAATCATGGTCATTTTTAATCATCTTGCCTCTAGATTCCAGTGTTTCCTAAGTAAAAAAAAAAAAAAAAAAAAAAAAAAAGAATAAATAAACTCCCTACTCCTAATTTCTAGACCAACACACTGAAGTCCTGTTTGATCATTAGCTAGCCCTGGCTTCTCAGCTCAGTTGGTACTATCCCAGAGCAAGGTCATGGGTCTAGAGGTAATAGGGGCCTGGACTGGGAAATACTCTAGTACACAAAGAGGCACATGTCCTTCCCGCTAACTGTACTAATGGTGTAGTATGGGACAACTGTGACTTGAGGGGGCAAGCATCCAACTACCTATGTCTAGAGGCCAATAGGAAAGCAAACTCTGGAGCATGAAGCAGTAGTTAAGAACTCACTGGACACTCTGGTCTTGACCATCTCTGGGTTATTTTATATCTAGCCTCCTAGGGAAGGCTTTTCACACTGGGGAAGATCAGGTCTCTAAATACCTAAATCCTTACTAACAAAGTTCTCACCACATAAACAGAATGTCAGCAAATAGATAAACCCATAGTGCAAGCCCCAGCCTCTTTTCCCTTGGCTGAGCAGCACCACTCTGAAGGCTCTGCTTACACCAGTATTTCTACTAGAAGAGAACCCATCACAGCCACAGGGGCCACTTCTAGGCTTTGGGTGTTTATGAATACTACCAATGTTGGAGCCTCAGGCAGAGTAACTGGAATCAGAAAAAGAAAAACCCCACAGAACTGAGTTCTTCTCACGCCACACAGGTTTCTCTTAGTAATGCAGGGCACTGAGGAGGAACCAAAGTCCATTAGCAACCACACTTTGGGGTGGCCCTGCACATGAGTAAGGAAGCAGACAAGTCAGCTGAGATGACTGGAAACACTGTCTTAGCCTTAATCTTAGCCTGGAATTAATAATACACTACACCTCACAGAGAATTTACCAAAATTCCAGCACAAGAACACTCACATCTTGCAGAAGTTTCTCTAAATTCTCTTGAAGCTCGTAGAAGTAGTGTGATGTAATGAGACGACTCCGAGATTTATCCAGGCAGTCTCGGGCCATCTCAATCACCTGATGATGAATAAAGCTCAAGGTTCCATCTGCCAAGGGCAACACACTGTCCGGAGTGTTGGAGGAAATGAATTCTGCAAGACGCTCTTCCATTTGTGCGGTGGCCTGCAAATAAAAGCAGAAAAAGTGACACTTCCCTTCTGGTTCCAGCTCAGTTGGGAGCTCAGCCTGAAGGACCTGGTAATAACCTGAGGACAAGCTCTGTGATCCTGGTTTCCTTGATGTTGCATTTGGGGAATGTGACAACTAGACATATGAAAAGGTCACCGTCAAGTCAAAACATTACAGTCAAGGCCTTTTCTCACTGTGACCTTGCCTATCTCCCCCTACTACTTGGAAGATGTGTTCTTTTGCTCTGAGGACCTGGAAGTGTCTGTTGCTCTCCCCCTTTGGCATGCTGCTTCATGCCTGTTCATGCTGTTCCCTGCATGTAGCTTTTTCACCTGCCAAGGCTGCCTGGCAAACTTCTATCACTCCTTCTAATCTAAGTTAACACATCACCTGCTTTCCTCTGGGAAGTCTTCAATTCCTCCATGTAAATAGGGTTTTATTTCCTCCATGCTGCCACTGGACCTCCCAACTGTATAAACTTAGTGCATAGACACTGATAGTTTCTAAACGTTTCTCTGAACTGGGAATTACAAGTCAGAGAGAATTTGATTTTTTTCAGGATCCTCTTACTTGACCTTAGGACTTAACTGGACTAAGCAGATGCTCAGAGAATGTTTATTGAAGGTGTGAACCTGACTCCTCACAGACCCAGACCTTCAACAGAGAAGAACAAAAGTCTGGCTCAGAAGCCTCTGGGGGACCAAACTGCACAGTCATGTCAAACGATAAATACACACCAGTTAAAAGTTCCTAGCTGCCTGTCTAGAACGCAGCCTTTTTTTCTTTGCCCTCAGGTGGCAATTTCTGATTTCCAGTATATGTTTAGGTGGATGTGTGTGTGTCTGAAATAAATGAATATCTTTCATTTATTTCATCATAACCATTTTTGCCACATTTTTACTGTATAACTAATTGGCCATAAGGCAATTTTGCTATAAAAGAAAAAAAATACCTGGTTGACAGTTTCATTTGACAGTTTGTTTTCACGTCTCCAATAACGCAGTACTCCCATTTTTGTATCATATAAATCTTAGCCTTCATAATGGTCTATACAGTGGCACCAAGTTTTGAACACACATTTTCCATAGAACTTTGGAACATCTATAAATGGACATGTGACAATATGCTAAGAATGAACAACAGTGTGAAGACTTTCACAACACAATACAGAGTTATCAATATGTGCCCGAGTATCTAGAAACTGATGCTTCTCTTAATGAAGTATGAAATTTTAGTCAACAAAGGAAGAGTGTAATGCTAAACAAGGAGATGAATCAATAAGCAAAAACAAAATGTATAAAATGATGACCAAAAGACTTTGAAGACAAATGCTTAGGTACAATCAACAAACTAAAATCAGTTATTTGTGCTGTATTTCAATGAATCTACACTATATATTGAGAATGTATTCAAATATTTTGTGTAGTTTGTATTTTGTTTGCAAATAGGCTTTTAATTTTGTGATTTTTTTTTTTTTTTTTTTTTTTGGTGTTTGACTATGTCCTTTTTAATGAATGTCCTTCATTTCTTTGTGATCTTATCTTTTACGGCAAAATTGCCCAATGGCCAATTAGCTATGTAGTAAAAGTGCTTATGGAGAAACTACCCAGAACCATGTATATAAATACACATCTAAGTGTACACACACACACACACACACACACACGGTATGTGGAGAGACAGAAGAAACAGAAGGAAAGGAACCTTAACATATTTTCTCTAACAGTTTGTCTTTACATGAATGGTTTGGAGACATGCATATGAAGCAAATATGCGATGTTAAAATGATAACATAATATCTAAGAAGGAGGAGGAAACATGTGAGATGTATTTTAAAGACTACATACTCCCAAATTTCTTTATAAGGATCAAGCATAACAAAATGATTTCTTAGCTGTTCATTCTGCCTGTCTTCCTCACTCATACTCTCTAATTCCTGCTCCAAGGCATGGAGAGCATAGACCACAGGGCAACAAAGAAATAACAGCTCACATTGAGTGCTTACTATGTCCTGGGTACAGTTAGAAAAGCTTAATGTCCATTAACCTTCAGAAACTCTCTATGAGATAGATACTCTTATTATCCCAAATTATAGAAGAGGCAAATGAAGCACAGAGAAGTTAAATAACCTGTCTAGGATCATATAGCTAGTAAATGGTAGAAGCAGATTTGAACCCATTCAGTCTGGGTCCAGAAAGTGTCCTTCCTTACTGCTATGCTTCACTGTGTATGTCAAGAGGGAAATCACAGGGTTTCATATCATTTCCCTAGGCCACCCATGTGTGTCCAGAAGACTATACTGGAGTCTAGAAAAAGGACACTCTCAAAAGAGTAGAGAACCAACTGCGCATTAGGGACCTTAGACACAAATGAACAGGTAGACCCAGGGAAGCCCGGATAGAGGATGAAAATAGAGGCTTGAGGACCTCATGCTCCTTGCTGTCATGGACAGGGAGCCTGAGTTGGTTCCCTGGTTCAGTCAGAGTCAGCTGTGTTCTGTAGGAATAGGACCTGGCACAAGATGACCAGGTCAGAGTGTATAGACATGCTGTGTGCAAAAAGGGAAACAAGGGCCTTTGTTCCATATACTTGGTGGTTTCTAGCCAAACCGTAGAGCTGTGAAGCCTACTTCTCCACTATCCCAGGAGAGTAATCTGCCTTCCTCTTTCAGCATTTTCCTGCTTGAAAACTCTGTCTCTCATCTTCCTGCTCCCTCTGGCCAACCTGCCAGTCCAGCATGTCTGTCTGCTGTGCACTCTATGGGCCTGGTAATGAGGCTCTGCTTAAAAATCTGCATCAAAGGAACGTGCTCTCTGATAGCCAATCCCATTCTATGGGGACTCTGACTTACAGACCTGATGTGCATGGTTAGAAACAGGGTCCCCAATTCTTCCCTTCCTCATTAACATATAGTGGAACAGCTTTCTAACATTTCTCTCTCGATACCTCCCCAGGGAGTGGAGAAATAGAGGCCCTGCAAGCAAGCCCCAGACTCATAGTCCTCTGCTGCCTGCCTCCTCTCCAGTAGTCTGGAAACTTGTGTTTGTATCCTCCTCCTGGTGGAAGAGCCTTTCTGCTCTTCTTGATTACCTCTGGAGAGAGCATTCCATCCCCTCACCCCCTGTCTTCCCACAGAGGCAGCCCTCCTCAGAATCCTTACCTTGGGAAATCTTTCTTTGTACACATGATTCATCATTATTATTTCACTATCAAAGGAAACTGGGGACCGTCCAGGACTAAATGAGAAAGAAACAATTGTGTTACTTCAGTGCCACGGAACTATCAAGAAGAAAGATGACCATTCCCAGAGTCCCACTCCCACTGTCTGCAGCACCCACACACTCCCACCTTAATGAGCGCTGAGTTCTAGAGTCTTCCTTTCTCCTGAAGCTCCCAGCACACCTTGTTTAGTTCAAAATGCTGCCATCTGGAACTAGGCTACCTTCCTGCAAGAAACCTAGCTTTCACAAAGAACTCTGCCAGCGCCTGAAAAGGCCTAGAAAGGAGGAGACCACATCTGAGTCTACTTGTAGCCTTCCTAGGATGATCTCCCCCAGAACAGGACTCCCTGGGTCTTCTTTGCTTTGGCCTGTAGGATCGAGTATACTCCAGCATGTTCTAGGAATCAAATCAAATCAAACCACCACCAAAACAACCAAAAGGAGACAGTGTATACCTGTATCTTTTTCCAAACACACTGGAGCCAATGAGGCTAACTTGAGCTCTGACCTGGGGGATAAATGAGGCCAATCCAGCTTGTAGTGTGTTATAAGCCCGGGTCATCTAAATGCTCCCCTTTGGCCCATGTTACATCTTCTTAAGGGATTTCAAAGTTTGAGCCACACAAATGAATGGATATTTGGGGTCCTGACATGTGAACCCCAGCAGAGGTAGGTTCAGAACGGTTCCTCTTTGCCTTTCCTCCCTGGAGTGGAGCCATGGGCTGCCTGCTGTATCAATATACATTACCAAATATTTTAAGAGTAATATAGCAGGGATTTCCCTGAGTTACTATAGTCCCCTCAATCTCAAATGGACTAAAATGTACCCCTTACCCTGTGGATTCTGGAGAGCACCAAGATTCATGTGTTCCTCCGAGTGAGACAAAGAAAGGCACTGGGATCCAGACTCCACAACACTCATTTGTGTTTCTGATCCTCTACACTACAGTCCCAGTGATCATCTCCATCAGTCTCTGAACTTGAACCAGTCTTTATGATCTGGCCAGCTCACTCCCCAATATTCACAGTAGCAACATCACCTGGAGGTATTCTTCCTGGGAGGCCATGTTTCTCTGGGTCCCCAACCCAAACATATTAGTCAACTTATTATTTCCCATAGGCTCTGGAAAGCTAAGCTCATTCATTAAAGTCATGCCCATTTTAATCTCCACCCTCTTCCTTAACCTGGAATTTTGGCGCAATTTTATCAGCTAATGCCAAAGAAAAGAGGGAATTAGTCTAAGGAATTCACAGATAAATAGCTGCTGAGGTTTGCTTGGTTTGATGAGCCCAGGCGATTCAGGGAAATGAGTTAGATTCAGATGGACATTTAGTTCTGCTTCTGAAATGGGCTTCTTCCCCAAGTCAGCCGCAAGTGTCTTCAGCGGCATCTTCTGTAGCTGGCCTAGTTCATATACCCTGGGCCAGTAGGTTCTATAGCCGGTTAACTATCAGAATGGATCATACTATTACTCACCTTTTCCTGAATGGAGCTTAAAGTACATTTCTACTGCTAATTACTTTTTTTAATGTTAATTTATTATTTTTGAGAAAGAGAGAAAGACAGCACAAGCAGGGGAGGGGCAGAGAGTGAGGGAGACACAGAATCTGAAGCAGGCTCCAGGTTCTGAGCTGTCAGCACAGAGGCTGACACGGGACTCAAATTCACGAACCTCGAGATCATGACCTGAGCCAAAGTCAGACACTAAACTGACTGAGCCACCCAGGCACCCCTCTACTACTAACAACTTTCAAAGGGAAAAAGAGAGGGACCACTTGACAGTATCATCAAATATGCTTGAGCATCACTGGACTTGATTCATTTGAGCTGTGCCAAGGTGCTGTGCCAGGGGTTGGCAAACTGGCCCACAGACCAAATCTGGCCCATTGCCTGTTTTTGTAAATAAAGTTTACAGAATGTCTGTAGGTGCTTTCGCACTACAATAGCAGAATTAACTAGATGCCACAGGGATTGTATGGCCTACAAAGCCTAAATTATTTACTATCCTGCCCTTTATAGAACATTTGCCAATCCCTATGTTGTGCAAACAGGCTGAGCCCCATCGGTCCTGAGGTAGCAATCAGAGAGTCCCCCTTACCTGAGGCTGCGAGAACGGGGCCGCATGGCTGGGGACTGCCGTCCCTCCTCATCTGGTACACTCTCTGTGCTGAAATGCTTTGTTAAAAAGTGCAGCTCATCAGCTGTAGGCTGGAAGGGCAACTGGTGAAGCTTTTCCTGTGAGGAACATGATGACTAGAGGGAAAAACATTAAAAAACAGCATTACAGGCATGTCTAAGCGCACACCAGGAACAGAGAAGACTTCCCAGTCAATGTGAACCCAAAGGCAACCAAAATCAGGCCTTCTTTGCTTTGTTTCTTTTAGCCTCCACTGTGTAGGATTCCCCTCTCAGTTCCTTCAGAGCCTTTAGTCCTGGGGAAGCCAAGATAATAATAGCTGACTTGAAAACAATTAAGAATTCCAAACATGGCCCAATGACTGAGATTCCCGACAAGAGCCCACTGCCAACCACAACAGACCTTTGAGGGAGTGAGCCATGCTACAACAGGCATCCCACCAGACATAGCAACTGCTATGACAGCCCTATGCAGCACCAGAATCGGTGAAGTTCCCCTTTCCTGACGAGAGAGCAGGTACCGTTGGCTCAGCTTCTGTTCACCATATAATGAAGAATCTGGGGTTCAAATATCTAAATCCATTTAGAGTCAGAGCTGCAGCATCACACTGAGGAAACTGTTGCCACAAGTAAGCCTCAACACCAAGTGAGAAATCAGAATTTTTTGAACTACCAGCACAGGCTTCCGTCATGGAATGCTATAATATATGAAACTGTAAATAGCTAGTAAGAGGTCTCCACAGGCCTCTGTCTTGGCCACATTTTTGGAAACAGTTTGGATAAAAATTGCAAAACATATCTTCACCCAACTGCTGCTAAGATGAAGTAAAATTGGTTTTATAAAGTATCCCAAAAAAATAAGCTGCAGCCAGGGGTGAGTCTATTAAAATTTATTGAACAGGTATATGCCATATATATCTTTATCTTGCCTTAGGTCTTAAAAAGTCACCTGAGTAAAAGATTAAGGGGTGGTGGTGGTGGGGGATGTTTGCCAGGCAAAGATCTAAAGCTTAACTGCTGCTAAAAGACCAGTGAGATTTTTGGATTTATTTATGAGTAATATCTAGGTCAAGGGAAGAAATGATAGTCCTTTTACCTGCTTGGTATTCATGAATGTCGAAGATGCCTAGGAAGACCTGAGGAATGGTGGGAGACATGTGGAATGGGTCATCCAGCCTGCTGCCCAATCCAGCCTGCAAAGTCTACAATGCTTACTATTTGGCTCTTTACAGAAAAAGTTGTGAACCTTGTCATCCTGGCTTCAATTAAAACTTGCTCAATGAGGAAGACTTGTTTTACTGTCAATTGTGCATAGCAGCAATTATGACATCTGTTGTGTTTTAGGCTAAAACCTTCTCTAAAAGAAATAGAACTAGAAGTTTTAAAGACAGACCCAGCATTTTTCTTTTTTTTTTTTTTTTTGCTGATACATATCAAGCTTCAACATAAAATAATGGTCATACTTCCCTTCTTTTTTGAAAGGAAAAGGTGAAAGAGGAGAAGGAGGGTCCACTCGGTCTTTGGGACATGAAAGGGTCTATCTGCTCTTGGTTACAGGTCTAGAAATAAATTGGGGAAAGATCCATGCTTAGGATCCCCCATGTCTGGCAAACCAAAAGTCCATCCTCAAGCCCTCCTCTGACTCCACTAGGAAGAACTGATGCCCAGAGAGCATGCTGCTCAGTTCTTTCCAAAAGTGTTCAATGGATCTGGCTACAGCCGGTAAAGGCCAACACTGCCCCAGTCAGCCTCATCCCAAACAACTTCTTTGAGTTTGGCTTTGTAGGGAAAATGGAGAACCACTTTGCAACACTGTAAAGACATGTAGCAGTAATCTGTGGGAAAGTATTTCCTCGAGGTGGCGGAGGTAGAGCCAAAGATTTGGCTACTTACTGAGACAGTAGAGCTAGGAGTGTTGGTTCCATAGCCTGAAGAAGGCAAAGAGGCCAAAGACCAGCGCCGTCCATCAGTCCTATGTAAGATTAAGAATATTAGGCAGTTTCTACAGGACCCCACCCTGAGCCCCGGACCTGCCTGTCTTTCCATTAGCTTTTTTTTTTTTTTTCCCCAAGACTCTTCTTGGTCTCTACACAGTACTGCTTGGTCTAGTACATGCTTTCATGTCTCTCTTCCACATGGGGCCTATGGCTGTGTTTTTTCCACTGACTAAAAAGGAGTCTGTGACTTTGAATAAGAATGTCTGGTATATAATACTGTGGTTCTGAAATAAAAATCTTTATACTCTCAACCTATTCACTTTTAGAGAAGCAATGACAGGGGACTCCAGCTAAAGGCATCACCACAAGGAGAGAACTGCCAATGAAATGCAGCTATTCTTTTCAGAGGGCTCCAGGTGAAAGGCTCTTTGGTCTTTCCCAGGCCACTAGGTTGATGAGAAAGAAGTGGATCACCATCTGTGTATGAGTATGAATTAATCATTGGTGAATAGTCCAAGGTTACCTAAGATCCATTAGGGCCTATAAAACCAGTCTTTGATAGTCCAAGGTTACCTAAGATCCATTAGGGCCTATAAAACCAGTCTTTGACAATGTTTGTAAAGAGTGACAGTAACCTCATGAAAGAAGAGTGAAGTGACATAACCTTGGATGTGTATAAGATTTTGGAGCGGACTTCCTGCTGCTCTTGAGAGGAGGCAACTCAAAGCTCTTCTCACAGAGAACCACTTATTTGCTTTGCTGTGGAGGAGAAAGAGCAAGCAGGTATCTGGTCTGAAGCTTTTATTACATGGACAAGTGACTCTTTCCTGAACTATGGGATATGCTGTAATACAAGTGTTTTTTCTTATGAAGCCTGGGGGGGATAGCTTGGTCTGGCTGAAGATGGAGAAAATTTCTTTGCTGCTACCACAGAACCTTAGTACATTAGCAATGGAAGACCTTTAGAAGTTAAATACCCTCAATCATCGTTTTCTAACATGTTTTCTAACACTAAGACCCAGGGATTTGTGTGATTTAGTCCAGACTTCACAGTTAAGGGGATTGGGGAGAAGCAAGGAGAGAAAGGAGAAAAAAGAGACTCAATCTTGCCAGGATTTTTCCTTTTGATGCACTCCTCCCACCCCCACCAATATTCAGCAGCTTTTCCTACTATATTCTGCAAGGGGGCAGTCCAGGGTTTCATGCCACATGCACCTGATTCAAACTTCATGCCACCCAGGCAGCTAACTGCTGGAACCTAGTCTCTGAGGCAAATAAATGTCCAGGAGGCTGCCAAACATGATGTTCTCTCTGACCTCTTTGTTGGGTCCTGAGAGCTCTATTTAAGAAAGCAAGTCAGTTCCAGGAAAATGGAGCTCAGCAAAGACAGTACTAATCTAACTCAGGGAGAAATTTCCCAAACCCTTGTCAAATAGACTTTTTCACAGGTCATTCTTCCTCCTTTAGATAGACATGGAAACAAACTGCAGGGCGGCCATTTTCTGTAATCTGAAGAGCAAGGACTACCAGATTCAGAAAGAAATGCCGCTACAGGATGCCTCCATTTCCCCTGCCTGGTCATCTCATTTTGTGACTGAGGAAATTTGTGGGAATGAGGGTAACTTGTCCCTAGGCTCAGAACCTTGGAACTATTCAGCAATTCTTGCCTCTAAGGATATGGGCTCTGAGCCTTGGTTCCAGCAGGGGGTTCCCTTAGGGCCTTTTTGCTACATATGAAAGGCCAAATGTTCATACCCACAGTCAGAGAAGACTCATCACAACCAGTTCTCACCAAGCACAACACCACAAACCATATTGTCTGGCCATGCATAGCAGTTTCCCAGTCCCTCTCCCCATCAAGTCCACTATTACCTGTCAGCTCTGTGGCCATGGCTGTAGTGAAAAGACATACATTACAGTGAGAATCAAATGGACCCAGAGTGATCTATTTGACCCCTGGTGTTTGGTCAAGTTTGGCAGGGGCAAACTTTTTGTTTAGGAATGTGTGGAAGTTTGAAGTGAAATTGCAGGATTGATAGACCTATCCTTAGCATTTCATCAAATCTGTGTTTTGTGTGATACTGCAAACCCATGTGGTCCTATAAGGCTCAAGCCAGACCTTCGTAACCTAGCAAACACAATTCCTGAGTACCCTGTTTGGCAGGGTTGAAGTCCCCTTCCCCACCCCTACCAAAATCTAGCTCCTTTTCCTACTATGTGCTGTTATGGGGACAGCCCAGAGTTCCATGTTCCATGCACATGACTCAAACTTCATGCCACCCAGCACGGAACTATTTGGATCTCAGTGGTAATATCAGGCCCTTAAATCCCCTAGCTGATCCTACTCCTAAAGCCCAGATAATGAAGCAGACACAAGGGCACCAATGGAACATGCTATTCCTTCTGCCTAAAATGGTCTAAACCTATGTTCTCACTTTCAACATGCAGGCTCCTTCTTATCCTTCAGATCTTAGCTTGAAAGTCAATCCCCTTCAGAGAGGCCTTACGTGACCAGCCCGTATATATTCTTCAGCCCCATTCCCTTCCTATGCTTTTATGCAGCACCATTATCACAGTTTATAAATGTTTGCTTGTTTATTATTCTTCCCCACCACTCAAACAATAAGCACCAAGTGAGTGCTTATTATAGATCAGGAGACACAGCTTTCAACATATTAAGGTATCTCTATTAAAGATACTTTTATTCTGGCTGAGGGGAGATAGAAAACAAGCAAATAAGAAAACATCAGGTATTGAAAAGTACTTGTCTGAAAATAAAACTAGATAATTTGATGGAAAATGAGTGGGCTCCTTTATATTGCAGGTTAGGGAAGGCCTCCCTGATTAAGCTGACATTTAAGATGAGAAATGAAAGACAAGAATGAGTTAATTAAGTGAAGATCTGAGAAAACAGCATTCTTGCAAAGGGAACAACAGGTGCATAGACTCTAGTAAGTCTACTAAGTTTCAAGAAAGTAGGAGCTATGGTGTTTTTGTTTTTCTTTTAATTTATGGCTATTTTGTTACCACTATATAACTAGTTACCCAGCATAGTACCTGGGTATACTGGATGCTTAGTAAATATTTACTGAATGAACGAGAAATGACTCAATGTCACTTATAGAGATTGGTCACAGATCTTGCTATCCCAGCACAGATGTAATCTGAGGCTACAGTTCACATACAAGGTAGGAAGTCTGGGATAAGAAAGACTTTCCAGCTGGACTATGAAGACAAATGTATCAATCCAGCATATTACTATACTGGAAATATTCCTAAATGAATGCCTGGTTAACTGATTTTAAATGTATACAAGGTAGGAGAGATCTGTCCACAGGACAAACTTAGATGATATTTGTTTTGAATAAGGCAACTGGGTCAGGAGGAGCACGCAAGTCAGCTATCCAACTTCTCCCAACCTATCCATGTCCTTTGCAGCTATATAAAATCATGGAGAGGAAGGGGGTGGATTTCTTCTGGGTCTTCATTTGAAGAGTGAGTTAATGCTGTTTCAAAGAATGTGTTCTTTTTCTATTATCTCTTTTTAAAAAGGAGTCTAAGTATAGGAACTGGTCTGGCCTCAAGCTGCAAATATCATTCTGTGTTCACTAAAGGTTCCAAATCTGGAGCCATGATTTTTCTGGAGGACTTAATGCCAAATGCTGATTCTAACCAAGAATACTTTTAAAAATAAAAAATAAAATTAGAGAACATGAACTCTACCAAGAAAGAATTTTAGAAAAATTTTTGAAAAGTAAGTCTTTTTCCATTTTATATGGAGCCGTGGTATGTAGTTTGAATGAACTCATCTCAGTCAGCTCAGTACTTCTCAAGAGGCCCTGACAATGACTGAGCTGTCAGGATTGCTACCACGTTCCAGGAATAAGTTTGTAACACTTCCAGAAGGGTGAAATGCAAGGAGGAATATAAGCATGGCCCTGTAATGCAACAAATCTTTCTAAATTCATGGGAGGATAAGTGAAGCCTCTGTAATCTCTTTATCCCCCAGGAGAGATCCTTCCAGCTCCTTGGAATTAGCAGAGTAAGAAGAGTTAAGAGTAAAACCTTGGGTTCCCCTGAGAGGAGAGGCCATTTTCTCATTGATCATACTAGGATAGTTCTCAGTCAAGAGTATTATGTTTTGGAACATATCCTCAGGAAACCAGGGACTTGTGCTTAGGATTATAAAAACAAATCCACACTTCTTATATCTACTTGTCCATTTAAACTAAATGCAAATACCTAGGGCTTTTAGAAAGCAAAACTTGAACAAGATGATTATGACCTGGGTGAGGAAAGCAGGGAAGGAATTTGATGGCTGGTAGCCCACACTTGGAAGGGCAATATCTCAAAGGAGGAAGTCAACATTTAACTGACATTCATGCAAATGCCACACACATTAGTCACAGAGGAGGCTTTCTATCAACTTACCTACGGGCAGGAACAAAGGAAAAGTGAGCAGGTGCATTTGGAGAGAAATTCCGAGGGCTATCCAAAGGACTGTTACCTGTGGGTGGGGAAAGAAAATAAAACCCTCTGTGAGGTCTGTTTCTGAGGAGGACTGTGACAACCTTTAGGGGAAAAAAATCTCCCTCTAGTATCGGCAATTAGCACTCACGTGGTTATGTTTTCAGGCTCACCCTTAGTTTAATGATTCTCTCTTTGTAAAAGTCTGGTAGTCCAGAGGTTTCTTCCTTGTTCCCAGGTTGCCTGTAACCATCTATGTCTCTCAGGCATCCATTCTTTTTTTTTTTTTTTTTTTACCATTCCAAAAATATTTATTTATTTATTTTTTTTACAAATACTTTATTGTCCATTTAGTTTCCACATAACACTCAGTGCTCATCCCCACAAGTGTCCTCCTCCATGCCCATCCCTCCTCTCCCCCACATCCATCAAAACAAAAATTTTTGTCAGCATTCAAGAGTCTCTCATGGTTTGCCTCTCTCGATTCCCCCACCATTTCCGCCCTTCTTCTCCCCCTTGTTCCTCCGTCAAGTTCCTCCTAATCCTCCTATACGTGCAAACATATGATATTTGTCCTTCTCTGTCTCAGGCATCCATTCTAGTTCCAGCAGCAACTTGCCATTTTCTGCCCTCCTAGGAACACCTCAGGCTCTAATCTGCCTAGTCAAATAACCCAATTTACCAAAGGCTTAAAGAATTCATTTGGTGTAGATGGCATGGCATATCAAACATTTCTCAAAGGGTAACAGGACTCCTGGTCTCTTGCACATATATCTACACATACTGCATCCAAGGCTAACCCAGAGATATGCATGCTTGAGAGAAATTTAAGTTCTTTGGTGAGGACTTAGGAGAGCAACATTCCTTAGAAGAGACCATATACAAGGGCTCCAAGATTGCAAAGCATGCCCAACTTCCTCACAGCATAGGAATTACCTCCATTTTCCCTAATTATTAGCTTTCACATGTCCCCTGTAACTTGCTAACCTATAGCACAGAAGGTTCAAACAAAACTATGGTTACCTTTGCACTAGTTACAACAATTCTTGGACCTAAGACTGCCATACTTCTCTGTTCTAACTTCCACCTGGGGGTTGGTATTTAGAAGCTCCTAGCTGGCAGAAGCTGTCAATGTGTCTCTACCCAAAGGTCCATGTCAAAGTAAGTACCATATACCATACTCCATTATGCACTGACTACTCTGCCAATCTCTGTCTGCCTACCACTCCCAGTTCTGTACTCACCTCCCCACACAGCACCTCTGTATCTGTTAGGTAAAGCCACTCTCAGGGCACCTGGCTGGCTCAGTCAGTGGAGCAATGTGACTCTTGATCTCAGGGTTGTGGGTTTGGGCCCCACAATGGGTATAGAGATTACTTAAAATATTTAGAAAACAATAATAAAATAAATAAACGCACTCTCTATGGGAAAACTAATTAGAAAGAGGCATTTCCAACTTCCACTTATTCCCTTGACTGGGAGCCTCAGTGAGGTACACAGCCTTAGTAGATCTGCCCTCAATCTAGTACAACCTCTGAGATTCCCAAGCTCTGTGTCTAGGACTATCTCTTATGATCTATTCCTACCTCCTGGCTAGCACAGGCTACCAGGATGTGAGAGAAATGATCTTCAGTAGTTGTTTCCTTAGCCAGGACTTAATAAGTATCAGGCCTCCTCAGAATTATCAAAGATTAAAAAAAAAAAAAACCCAAAAAACAAATCTCTATTCTTTTAAAATAGAGTCATTTCAAAAATTAACAAATACCTTCAGTTTGATCCTTGAATGTAAAGCTAGATGCCCTTTGTTTCTTCCCCAAACTACTCAACGAAGGCCTCAAAGAAATTCCTGAATATCCTACCAACAATTACTGCCCTTCCAAGGAATATGTGTGGTGCTGCTTATGGGGTAGGACACAAAGAATCCTCCATGTGCTAAGAGCAATGCAAGGGATTCAAAAAACACACACATGTCAAAAATAACTTACACTAAGAGGAAAAAAACCCCCTGCAAATCATCATCATCAACAATCATCATCATCAGAGTATCACTAAGCTATGAGACAAAACTTCAAGCAGCCTAACAATTCTCAAAGAAGAGAGTGAAGGATACAGAAAACACAGTTGAAGAAATAATGGCTAAAATTTTTCTAAATTTGATGGAAAAAAAATTACACAAACATACAAGTGTGAAATCCAAGATTTCCAAGAACTCTAAGCGAAAGAAAGAGGAAGAAAACTACACCAAAGCACATTATAATCAAAATGCTCAAAACTCTTGACAAAAAGAAAAATCTTAAAAACAGTTGGATAGTGGGTGGTAATGACATGTTATATAGAGAGGAACAAAGATAAGGATTATAGCATATTTCTTATTATAACTAATGTAGAAATACAATGGAGCAATATCTTTGAATTATGGAAGGAAAAACAAACCCTATGAACCTAGAATTCTATACCTAGCTATTATTCATTTGGTGGCTTTTGTCCCCATTTCCTGGGAGTGAGCCTTTAAACCATGGAATTTCCCAAGTGATAGGAGTGTCTTTCTTATTCATGGTGGAGCCTGATAGTTTATGCAAATGAATGACTCAGGATGGTGGCTGGCCCAGCCAGAAAGACCAACCATGTAGTTAGAGGTGCTTTAAGCTATTCATCAACAGTTTGACTTCAGGGAATGGAGGGGGAGCTAGAGACTGAGTTCAATCACATATTCAGTGAGTCCATCAATCATGTCTACATAATGAAACCACAGTAAACACTGCGGACACCAAGACTTTGGTGAGCTTCCTGGCTAATAGTCTGCATATTGTTACATATCAATGTGTTGGGAGGGTGATGGATCCAGACTTCATGGGGAGAAGGCACTGAAAGCTTCACATGTGGGACCATCCCAGACCTCATTTTATGAATCTCTTGTGCGATGGTTCTGATTTATATCCTTTTTTTTCCCCCTAACAATAACACTCTATCGGTAAGTATAGTGCTTTCCTAAGTTCTGTGTGTTGTTCTACTGAATAGGAGGAGGTAGTGGGAACCTTTGAATTTATATCCGGTTGGTCAGAATTATGGGTGCCCTGGGAACTCCAAGCTTGCAGCTGGGTGTCTAAAGTAAAGTCAATTTTGTGGAGGACTATGTCCAAAACCTGTAAAATATGGCTTAATTCTGGGTAGTTAAGAGTCATTATACCAGTGAAAATAAATATTTTAAAAAAACAAGGTGAAATAAATATCTTCTCAGATTAAAACAAAAATTCCCTTAACAGCAGACTGCACTACAAGTTAAAAAAAAAAATGTTTTTGAGGTGCCTGGGTGGCTTAGTCGGTTAAGTGTCCGACTTTCACTTAGGTCATGATCTCACGGTTCGTGGGTTTGAGCCCCGCGTCAGGCTCTGTGCTGACTGCCAGCTCAGAGGCTGGAGCCAATTTCAGAGTCTGTATCTCCCTCTCTCTCTGACCCTCCCCTGCTCATGCTGTCTCTCTCTCTCTCTCCTAGAAATAAATAAAAAATATTTTTAAAAAATGTTTTTAAGTCTTCTAGACAGAAAGAAAATGATACCAGGTGGATATACGGTTGTATACAAAAGGATGAAGAGTACTAAAAAGTTAACTACATAAGAAAACATATAAGATTTTTTCTTATTATTTAAATCTCTAAAAAATAATAAATGTTTAAACAAAAATAATAAGGTGGTGTGTGATTTGTAACATACTAGAATAACCAGTTTGAAAACAACATAAAGGTTGAAAGAGGGAAAATGGAAATAGTATTATTCTTATACTATACGTGAAGTAGTATAATAGAATAAGATATATGCTATACACACTAATGCAACCACTGAGTAACAGAGTTATAGCTCATAAGCCAATAAAGGATAAGTGGCATAAAAACCATCCAACTCCTTGGGGCGCCTGGGTGGCTCAGTTAGTTAAGTGTCCGACTTTAGCTCAGGTTATGATCTCACAGTTCGTGGGTTTGAGCCCCGTGTTGGGCTCTGTGCTGACAGCTAGCTCAAAGCCTGGAGCCTGTCTTTGGATTGTGTCTCCCTCTCTCTCTGACCCTCCCCTGCTCACGCTGTCTCTCTCTCTCTCTCTCAGAAATAGATTAAAAAAAAAACATTAAGAAAGAAAAATTTTTAAAAAAACCATCCAACCCAAATAAGCAAAAAAAAAAAAAAAAAAAAAAAAAAAAAAAAAAAAAAAAAAAAAAAAAAAAAAAAAAAAAAAAAAAAAAAAAAAAAAAAAAAAAAAAAAAAAAAAAAAAAAAAAAAAGAAAGCAAAAGGAGAAAAAAACAGATGGGACAATTAGAAAACAAATAGGAAAAACATATTTAAACCAAACCATATCAACAATAGTAAATGTAAATAGTCTAAAAACCCCAATTAAAAAACACAGATTGTCAGACTAGATTAAAAGGAAGACCCTATTAAGGAAACTGAATCCGTATTAATAACCTTTGAAAGAAGAAAACATCAATCTCAGATGTCTTACAGATAAATTCTACCAAACAATTAAGATAATTTTTCTCAATTGACTGAGCCACCCAGGTGCCCTCATTCTTTATTTTTTAAGTTTATTTATTTTGAGAGAAAGAGCTTGCACACAAATGGGGGAGAGGTAGAGAGAAAGAGAGGGAGAGAGAGAATCCCAAGCAGGCTCTGAGCCACCAGCGCAGAGTCCAACACTGAGCTTGAACCCACTGAGAGATCAGGACCTGAGCCAAGATCAAGAGTTAAGATGCTTAACCGACTGAGCCACCCAGGTGCCCCTATATGCATACATTCCCAATGAAACTTCAGCAAATCAAATCCAACAATTATAAAAAGGATAATACATTAGATTTATCTCAGGAATACAAGGAAGTAAATTTATCTCAGGAATACAAGCTAGTTAAAATCTGAAAAATCAATCAATACAACCCACCATTATAATTGGCTGACACAGAAAAACTATATGATCATCCCAAAAGACACAGAAAAACATTTGATAAAAATCCAACAACCTTTTTTAAATATTTATGTACATATGTACATATGTATGCA